TCTCTCTCTCTCTCTCTCTCTCTCTCTCTCTCTCTCTCTCACACAGACAGACAGAAACAAACTGGGGAGCTGGGTGGGGCAGTGGCTGGTGCCCGTATGTCTGATTGTGACAACTTGGATACTCTTCTTCTTCTTCTTGGTGGCGGTGGTTTATGAGGCTCAGTCGGGTCATCTGGCTGCCGAAGGGAACTGTGGGAAGGTAGGTCCTCCTGTAAAGCGTTGGTTATGTTTTCCTTTAGTCCTTTGAGGGGATTGGCTGTGTACAAAGAGAGAGAAAAGGTCAGTTTGTTCACCATTTAACATCTACAGAAACATCAGGTTTCATTTAATATGCAGACGAACATCACAGTGAGGGAACATTTAAACATAAAGACAAGAACACAGACTGACAAACATAAAAGAATAAAGATTGGAAATTTTACCTTGACGATTTTAGCTTTCATCATCTGAGACGTGGGGTTTAGCGATGGCCATCTCCTCCTTGCTGTTTGCAATCATCTTACACTTCTACAGAAGCACAGAAAAAAACAAATCAGTTACTTTGTGTTGGTACAGTCTTCCACAGGCTTTGATTCAACACTGTTACTATCAAACATGTGCACATTGTTATTATTAGAGTACAATCTCTCTCAAACACAAATACACATGAACGCAGTTCCCCGTTTACCTCAGTGAGCTCCTTTATGGTGTGTATGTTAGCTTGCTGAGTGACCTTCCTCTTGGCTTCCTCGATGTGGTCCAGGTTGAGAGTTGGCGTTGGGGGAGCGAGACAAGGCGGAGGCTTGTTAGTGATGGTGGGAAGCGGGGCAAGGGGAGGCATGGCCGCCAGGGCACCCATGTTGGTCAAGGCAGCGGTCATAGTAGCCGCTGTCATACTTGCCATAGCAGCACTCATGGTGATGTTTGACATGCTGGGCATTCCTGGAATATTGGGCATTCCCATCTGACCCATATTGGGCATGTTGGACATCCCCATCCCCATGCCCATGCCCATGCCCATGCCCATTGGGAGAGGTAGCGGTAAGGAGAGAGGAGTAGGAGAGGGAGTGGGTAGAGGGAGCTGGAGGATGGCTTTCGGTCGAAGACTCTCAGGAATGGGCACCCCCGCCTTAGCACACATTGCAGCGGCGTTAGCTTTGGCTATCTCCAGCAACTGGTCCTTATCTGAAGAGAGAGAGGGAGGGAGGGGTAATGCAACAACAGGGCATAGAGAGGGGAAAAGGGCGAGATTAAGCATACGAGCAGTGTAAAACAAACACTTGGAATAAAAAAAAAAATTTTAAAAAAATAAAAAATAAAAAATAATTCATACAAAAGTTAATGCGTGAATGTTCATGATGTGTGTCCTTAGTTCCTATCAAAATGTTTTACCCAGTTCGGTGAGGCGTGGAGGAGTCTTGCTGGTGCTGCGTCGTGTCCGGGACCCTGAGCGGCGCTGCTTGCGGAGGATGAGAACTGGAGAGTGGCTGGGTTCTCTTTTCCACCTGTCCCGCCTATCGAACGAACGACTGCGAAACACCGGGCGCCTCCCTCGGCCTCTTGACCTAGACCTGCGTCTGCGGTCAGTAGAACGGGACCTCGATCGCCTGCTTCTGTCTACCGATCGTTTTCTGCGGCCGGTGGAGCGGCTCTTGGATCGCTTGCTCCTGTCTGCGGACTTGGACCTCCTCCTCCCGCGGAGATTGGGTGAGCGGGATCGTCTCTTTCGGGTTGGAGGAGAGCGGGACTTGGATCGGCGGATTCTGGTCCGGGACTTGGAGTGTGACCTCTTACGTCTTGCAGGGGAGCGCGACTTCTTCCGCCGGGCAGGACTTCGAGATTTAGACCGTCGTTTCTTCCTTTCCGGTGGAGAGACGGAATCCCTTTTCCTCACGGGAGACTTAGACCTGAGAAAGGGTGAATGATAAGACTGATGAAAAGGGGTGCAAGGGATCATAAAAACTCAGAGCGTATTGATGATTAGGTCATAAAAAATTTATTTTTATTGATGAAAAAAAAAAAAAAAAAATCTTGGAATTAGCAGTTTTACTCATACGCTGCTTAGAGCTATTGTTAGGATGTTAAACAGGTCATCATTCTGCTGTAAAAACATCTTCAAACAAATATATTTATTCAGCCGTCTTGCAAAAAACTACATTTAACAAGAAAACATTTTAACACCGCATGATAACTTATAAATTTAGATTTGTCCAATATCAATTTTTACTGAACAGAGCCAGAACGCATCATACGGTCACTGAATGGAACCTACGTACATTAGCTGTTAGCATTACTAGCTCTCCCCTTCTTTCGACTTCAATCAACACAGATACGTTGTTCATAATGCAGCATTATCAGGGATCGGCGACTAGAAAGCATTAATGTTGAACTCCTGATCGCATATTTTAGATGAATATTAGGCGTAAAACTTTATTTCACATTATGATGTTGAACTGCACAATTTATCAGCAGTTCACATGCATGCCGAACAGCGAGGGGGAACGTTACATATCACAGATCAACTACGGTGAGTTACACCACTACTGATGCACAATACCGACTTCTAAATTACAACTACTATTGCAACATGACGTTAGCATTAGGTCTGGTGTTCAGATGCCTTACAAGTTCCTGTTTCACGAGGTCTTTCATATTCAATACCTTTGAAGACCTTACAGAAATTCAACTTTGATGTCTTTTAGGACCCACAGAAACCCGATTTGTGACGTGGGATGGGTACATACACACACTAACACTCTACAAACCTTGACGGCTTCCTTCGGGATGCAGACTTTGATGTTGATCGTCGTGGTGGAGAAGTTGAGAGGGACGGTTTCCTTCGATCCGTAGGCGAGCGGGACTTGGACAGCTGCTTAACTAGAGAGGTAGAATCCTCTTCTTCGTCCGATCCGTCCGAAAGCTCGGACCGATCTGGGGCAGCGGCGGGCTCTCTGGAACCGGACCTGGAAACATCTTGCTCATTGGCTGAGCTGACACACTCCTTCTGTTCCTTGTCATGGTTGGGAGAAGGCGCCTGAGGCTGGTCTGGAAACGTATCTGAGAAGCTCCCAGTTTGGGGGCTGGGGACAGTTGCTGCAGGCATAGGTTTCCAAGCACCTGCATGGTACGTTAAGACAGGTTATGTCATTTCACTGCAACAGTTACACAAAAGACAGGGGATTTTAGCTCCTACTTTATGCGGTCTATACTTTTAAACTCTGTTACTACAAGTATTCAATAATAAAAATGGACTGTTTGTTAAAAAGAGCAAACAAGGAGCAAGATAATGTTCCACCATTGTGATGGTATTAGAGGCCTGAGGGGTGGACGGTAACTTGAAACTGGGATTTGATGATGAGTAAGGTTAATATATCCCAGTTGTAATATTACACTCATGTCAATGTTACTCATCAAATAGATTTTCACTTCACAAGGCTGACACTCTTGGTAACTGGGCAGATACAAAAAGTTTAACAAAATACATTTTAAGTTTTTGTAATTTACATTTACACTTAACTATAAAAAAAGAAATTCTGACCTGCTGTAGATGAAAATCCTCCGCTTTCCACAGCCGTCTCTGCCTCAGGGGAGGACGGCTTCATCTCTTTAACAGGAGAGGAAGATGTGGATCTGGCTGGGGAGGAGTTGTCCGACCGCCCATCACTCGACTCCGACCCGGATCTAGATCTGTTCACGGGCGCCGAAACAGATTTAGACTTTGAACGTCTTCCACTCCTCGGAGATTCGGACCTCTTCTTGACAGGTATCGGTGATTGGGACTTTGACCGAAGCCTTCGAGACAACGAGCGAGATTTGGAGCGTTTGCCAGACCTCGGCGGTGAACGATTTCTCCTGCCGGGGGAACGGGAGCGCCGGCGGGAGGGAGGGGTTCTGGATTTGGTCCGTTTGCAAGGACTCTTGGATTTGGAGTGCCGGTTGCGCTTAAGGACAACAACAGAACGTGACCGAGTACGCCCTCTCTTGCGAAGCGACCGAGAGCGGGAGCGGCGGGATCTGGCCGGTGGTGACTTCCTATGCCGAGACACGGATCGACTCCTGGAGCGCCTACCTCCTGCGCGTCTTGCCGGCGACCTGGAGCGACGAACGGGACGTCTTGATCTAGAACTGGAGCGGCGCTTTCTATTGACAGAACGTGACCGTGAACGCCTGCCAACCGCACCGCCTCGCCTAGGGGAGCGGGCCCTGGAGTGCCTTCGACTTCTCCTTGGAGACCGAGACAGAGAGGGAGACCTGCGCCCGCCGCGTTTAGGGGATCGCGACAACTTTCTTTTCGGAGAGTGGGAACTTCTGCGCCGCTTCGGAGAAACGGACAATGAACTCCTCCGACGTTTAGGAGACTTGGACTTCCTCGGAGACTTTGACACCTTCTTCTTGGGGGTGAGGGAGCGAGAGGTGGACCGGGACTGACAGATATCTCTCTTGAAGGACTTTGGGGACTGGGAGAGTGACTTCCTCTTAGATTTAGGGGACTGAGAGCGGGATAGCTGCCGACTTTTTAGAGGAGTTACAGACCGTTTTTCTTTAGAGGTTGACCTGGAATGGGTTCTTGACCGTTCTTTTCTTGCTGCTGCTGGTTGCCCAGGCTGCTCCCTAGTAGGACTAGGTGTTGGTGAACGACTATGACTTGAACCAGACCTCTTCATGTCTAGGCCCCCGGAAGGGGATGGAGACCTGCAATTGGACTGATCTTTCAGACCTGATTCCTCTCTCGGGGTAGCACCTTCCTGTTTAGGGATGATGTCAGGGAGTTCCTGGGCATGGCTGAATGTACCCTCATAACCACCCTCTGTCTTACCTGTTGCTGTGGCCGTTATCTCATCCTGGCCCGCAGAGGGCGATCTCATATCCTTTTCTGTTTGATTGGTGTTGCTGCCCTTCGCTCCAGATGGAGACACATCCATATCCGATATCTCCTTTTTCTTCACTCCAAGCAATTCAGACTTTTCTCCTCGTTTGCTTTTTGAAACTAGTTTGGACACTGGTTCTTGCAGGTCGGATGCTGCAGCGGGAGAGTATTTTCCATCACCAGTCACTTTCACCCCTTCACCTTCAGACTCAGAGCCTGAAGCTGAGCTGCTTTCAGATGGGGAGCGAGATGGGGATTTCTTTTCCTGCTTTTCGTCCTTCTTCTTCTTCTTTTTCTTCTTCTTGGCAGCGTGTCTTCTGTGTTTTTTGGATTTTGCATCGCCCTCCATATCGGCTCGATCTGAGAGGAGAAGTGACGATTTAAAAAGCAACAAATAACAGAAAATAATCCATTACTTTAAAAGAAAAACATTAATCATGCTTGTGTGTGAGCGTCTCCTACCTGTAATTACATCCCTTTTCCCCTCCTCCTTCAGCCCAGCTTGTTCTCCAGTTCCTGTAGCTGCTGCTAGTCTGGCACTAACAACACCGAGATAAGGAGACATTGCGGTTTTTATTTGTTTCCGTGTAAAACTTAAGTTCCCAATACAAACAAACAAAACACAATTAGGACATCTTCTCACTTTGGGTAAGGTACAAATCATCCTTTTAGTGGGACTGGTGGCTTTTCTCAGACAGATCTCCCTTGATAACAGAATATTTAGAATTCAAACCATATTCTCTAGACAATTACATCGGTGTCAAAATGTTGATTGGTCCCGAGTGCCTCTCACTAACACACACTTCTCATATTGTAATTAAAGTGACCAGCTTGTCTGCTGACAGTACGGGGTCTCTCCCTAGTTCAGTTCTGCCCATAACGAAGCAACGGCTAACATTGAAGGAGGTTGCACTGACTTGCATAATGGTACGGTCAAACCTCTACTGAGTAAATTATAATGCTGTCATGATGATTTGTTATCTTGTAAAAATGTGTTTATGGCGAGTAACTTCAATAAATACAGTTGCTTGATGGAGATGTTTTCACAGAAATATGAAATAGATCTTGGAGAGGTAATTATGACCTCTTTAACTTCTAACACTAGCTCTATGCAGCTGATAAAATATAATTAAAACTTCCAATGCCAAAATCTTTTTCAATCAAAGAAAGTAATTAAATAAAACATACAGTCCTTTATTTCCTAATTTAATTAATTAATTCATTATTTGTATTGTGTGTTTTTTATGCAAATAACCACTATAGATGACAAGAACAAAGTGAAAGGGTAACATGTAGGATTTGTGACAGTTCACAATAACTTCAGGACATTTACAATTAATTTTCATGGACAATGGTGGAAAAAAAACAAAAAAAAAAAAAACAGTAAGTCTGTCAATGATAGTTCTTAGAAAGAAAATGAGAATCAGCAAATATTGGAATCAGGAAGTCAGACTTTTGAAAAAAAAATCTGAATCTGCCAAGGAAATTGCAATCGGTGCATCTCTGTTCAAAGAATGTGGCCGCAGCGTGAATATGAAATCTAAACACCTAAAGATATGAAATATTGACAATAAATCTATGTGTAACACATTGAAAAGAGATGTGCATTTACTATCACATAACTTATTTGTTAACATATCATATATACAGCTGCCATGTCACAGTTGACAGTACATTTAGTGTACACAATGTGTTTAAATAAAAATGTCTTCTGACCTGGCTCTGGTGTTCCTGACAGGATTTGGAGACAGCAGTTGCTCCAAGTCCGACTCTGCACCAGATTCTGAACTGCTCTCCTTTTCCCCCTTCCTCTTCCTCTTCTTCTTTTTGCTCTTGTGTTTTCTGTGCTTCTTGTTTTTCTTGGGTGGTGGCTCAGTCCCTTCCTTCGCATTCATGTCGTCTTTCTCAAGTGCCTCCTCTTCACCTGTACAGGGCGGCAAGTATTTCAGACGACACAAGTATTTGGCAAATCCATGACATGTAGAAAACTTAGAACATTTCATTAGTGCTGCACATAAAATGAGTATGTCAATAAAATGCAGCATTCGTGTGGACATTTATGATAGACTAACATTGTATCCCTGAGATGTGGGGAATCCAGCAGTAAAATAAATCAAAATGGGTCAAGATTGAAATGACAAAAATGTATTTGTGTTTTATCCACCACTCACCTGAGGGGATGTCCACTGCACATTCCATTGTGCTGGTGGCCGATTCTGTAAAATGCTCTCTTAACGTCACAGCCCTGCTGCTCCCTCACTCAACACTGGCAAGGGAAACAAAGTTATTTTAACTTAAGCAACAAAGAGTGCAGCACCAACACAAGAGAATGCATTTCATAGCCATGCTACAGTAAAATGTAAGTAACATCATCTTAGTATGAATATCAATAGGGTTTTTGCTGGGCCTGGATAGGTCCGCTATGGCCACGCCGTGCAAAGCTAAAACAAAAACAGTCTGCAAAATGAAGGCTGAATTGATACCTCTCTTAAGGAGTTTGAAAAAAAAAAACTGAACATTATAAACTTCATGAAGGTGAGATTTAGACTGCTGTTGTATATGCATACTGTGACAACAATCAACAGGGCAGGAATCAGGATCTACCAAGAATATCTACAGGTTCAGGATTGGAGGTGATCTGTTTCCAATTTGTGCTGAAACAAATTTAAAAAAGATAGTTGCATTTTATCTCCTTCCTTAACAGGTATTGTGACATTTCATTTTTTTTAATTAAATACTTTTGTCCAGCCAAAATAACTTAATTCTTATGGTCAACAACTTGACGGTTTAGCTGGCAAACTAAGACAGCTTGTTTCTGAACACAAAATGCTTAGTTAAACCCATAGTTTGTCTCGGCACAAATGCCAAAAGCTGACTAAATTACTGAGAGGATAACAGAGTGGATGATTACCCATTGCTTTTGATATTACAGTCTGTAAACATACTTTTCAGGTAGTTTCCAGTAATGTGACACAATTTAGAAAGATTCAACCAAGTTAAGTGAAAAGTGCCATGTATCTGCCAACACATCAGCTCTCCTCAGGGGAGAAATATTCTGTGAGCAACTAAAGGCAAAATGCCTGCCTTAACATCACTGACCGAAACGTGGCCGGAGGTGTAAAAACACAATGGAGTCAATGGAATAACTATCTAGGACCAAGCAACCAGACTCAAAACCCAACAAAGGTTGCATTCCCTGCATCGACTACAGTGAGGCTGGATTGTTAACGCAAAGAAAGTTCGTAAATAGCTAAGTGGGTCACCAAAACCAGACTCAAAATTGAGTAAAATGTCAAAAAAGTAGGAACTTGCCCCAAATCTGTACCTTAACGGCAGGCGTCCTGTAGTCGTAAAGCTTCAATAAAGCCAACATTAGCTTTGCTGTCGTACAACCATAAACCGCGAGAAACACGGCTACGTTACCGTAACGTCTCTCATAAACATTGAAAATGAAGGCACAATCTCAGTTTAGCAACTCAAAATGGCATAAAATATGTATTTGCATAAACAATTTACTTAAACTGTACAATAGTTAAATCACATATTCGAAAACAACGATACTACAACTGTAAGACAACATGTGAGGTTATGTAGCCAAAACGTTTAGCTAACGTTGCCGCTTTACTTAAAGCTAACGTTAGCCGACAAAGATGCGGTTGCCCACACGTTACTTAAGATTTCAAGTAGCGTTAGCACATTTAGTTAGAGCCACAAATTATGTCACAGCATTCAGTTACACAGAAAACAACTAATGCGTGTTGTTGGATCACAGCTGCACGGGCAATAGATACGAAAAGATGAACAAAAGTTTCAAGCAGCACATATTCAAATGTTAGATAACAGTCAGGCCTGCCCTGCTCGTAAACAGCGTTAACATTCATTCACAGATCTCTGCAGCTAGCTTTCAATAATTTAGGTTAATATATCAATGGCTTTGTACTATAAAATGTTATTCCCCGAAACGTAGATTATTTAACGCGTTTACCAGTCGGGCAAGATATAAGCCAAACATGCTTCCTGCACGCCGCGGCCTAAGCGGCAAGCCACCGTAGCTAGCTCCGTAGCATGCGGCTATCGATTCAACGAGCTAGCTAGCTAGCTATCACAGTTAGCTGCTACTTGTTTCAACAAAGCAAGCTCGTTCGCTCATCACATCTCCAGATTCTGTTGCATATAATTACCTAGTTTACGTCCCGTGGATGCGGTCCGTGTGTAGAAAATGCAAGATAGCTACAGTCATTCAATATGTGACCACCAAATAACCGTTGAATATGCTAACTCGTTCACGTTAGCCAACTACCTGATCCGCCATGATGGGGAGAAAAGTATCCCAACATGCCATGCTGCGTGGTTTCAATGGCGGCGTTACCGTCTCCTAGGCAACTACATGCTCCATGGTAACAAACCTATATTTTACGTCTTTGTGGCAAACTACCAAAATGTTCTGATGTGCGTTATATATGTATTATTTAATGTAGTGCACAGTGTTAAATAAAAATAACCTCTTGTATGGGTGTATATCTACATATATACACGTAGATACTATGTCAGATTTGAATGCCATAAACTTTTGATATATTTTATGTTTAGTTAGTAATCTGGTCATTTTGTCTCATTAATTCTGAACCTGATGGTATACTTTATTGGCTTTGATCAGACTTAAAAATAATGTGAAACTCACACATTCTAATAAAGATCACCTTGGGAATGGTTCAGACATTGAGCACATGTTAACATTATATTCTATGGCCGAAATGGCTTCAATGTCTGTATTAAGCATCGACTCAATAAGTTGTTCTTGAAGCTGGGACATGGACAGTATATTGTTTTTTTAAGCATCATTTTGTGCAACACTTAATTAGATTATTTGAGGAGAAAATTGACCCTGTATTTTGGAGGGCTGTGTGGATTATAAATACAAATTGTCTCAGTCATGTACAACTTCTTTGACATAAAGTCAGGGCTTAACCACAGTCAACTTAACTTAACTCTATCTATTTAGGGCTATTGGAAAACATCAGGACAGCATGTGCTATTCATGTTTTAGCTTGAAAACATGTGCTAGGCAGAAACTGTAAAGTTAAAGTACTGTCATTTTGGTCCTCAATTAACATGCTAGATGCAGTGAACACTTAAATATTCCTTCCAGACATGTGAATAATAAGTAGTCTATTATCGTTTTTGGAGATGGTGCTTTTATTCTGAAGGAACCGGGCCGGAAATCTTAAAGAGTTGTTGCTGTAGCTCTTTAGATGGTGTAGCTCTGTCAGGAGTGCTGAAGTCAAGAGGATAGTGGTTATGTTAACTTGGAGAGTCATCCTCAGCTAAAAGACATGAAGAAGAGGTTCAACATCAACCTGGACGACACTGCTTTCGTTAAAGAAAGAACACCGGTCGGTATTATGTTTGAATTCTAACTGTTTACGTCGGCTAGCTAGCTTTCCAGCTGGCAACTGCTACTATAAATTCACAATTGTAAATGTCTCAACGTTACCAACTTTGCAACACAAGGGTTTGGTCTGAATATGCTTTTCAAAAACGCCAGTGTTTGTTTTACATGATGCATTTCATAAATATCGACTCTCTACAGCCAAAGCCGCAGTTTCAGCCTTCATCCAAAGGAGGACAAAACACCTCAGGCTCTCCTTCATCTTCAGCTGCTTCTGAGCCCGTGAAGCAGCCCTTTTCCTATGCAGAATACATCGTCCAGAGTAAAAGCAATGTGGCTGCTCCTCCTCCTCAGAGAGAGGGCTCCTCCAAACTGCTCAAGACCGATCAGAAGCAAAGTGAGTCAGACTCAGTGTCCTGTGAAACACTTGAGGACCGTGCTGAAGAGGGTGAAGGTGGATCTGAAGGGGCTAAGGAGAGCGAGGACCCACAGGTGGCTGACATACACCAGAAAGAGGGGAGCTGTCAAAGGTTTGATCCGAGCCCCAGCCTGGGCCCAAAACCAGTGGGTTCTGGGAGCAGCATTATTGTCAGTCCTCGACAGGTATGCATCCACGTTTGTCCCTCTTCACTTGGGCAACACTAGGTATTAGATTTGGGCAGAAAATCACCAACTCTCTCATGCATATTCGAATTCCCATTTGTTGATACTACTACCTGTGTTTCTTTATCAGCTTGGAATAGTTTGACTCTTTTCAGGCTTGTTAGCTGGCCGGGTCAACAGTAGGTACCTGTATCTAATTGCATGTTTATTGTCATCATTATTTTCTCATTCAGAGGGGAAATCCCATCCTGAAGTTTGTGAGGAGTGTCCCGTGGGAGTTTGGAGATGTTGTACCTGACTATGTTTTGGGTCAGACAACTTGCGCCCTCTTCCTCAGGTGGGTTTTTGTGCCACAAGTATAGTTTGTGTGTGTGAGATGAAAAGTGTGTTTGCATGTGTACGTGATGAACAGACATTTTTAAATTAATATTTGATGTGCGACATGTTCTTTTTCATGTTTTTTTTTTGTCTTGTGTATTATTTTTGCTGCATTTTTTTAATTTTTGGGCCTGGTTCAAAGTCTGAGGTATCACAATCTCAATCCAAACTATATCCACGACCGTCTGAAGCTGCTTGGACAGACTTTTACCCTGCGAGTGTTACTGGTACAAGTAGACGTGGTAAGTAAGGTTATATTAATTCAGTAAACATTCACATAGTCACACAGCTGAAATAGCTTCATTGTTTTAAGGCATTATTCTGGTTGTTAGTTCTGTATTTATCAAACTTCACAGGTACTAGAGTCCTAGACCCAATTTGTTACACTAACAGTAGTGTAATTGAAGTCTGAACTGTGCAGCTGGAAGCATTTTCAGTACTGTATGTCGGAAAATCTAAATACCAGAGTAGAGAAATACTACATACTGTTTGAAAAACATTCAGATCTGGTTCAAAACACTGAACATTTCCATAGAGATGAATATCACCCCGAACTCCATTTATAAAGCTTTAAGATATTTTCTCTCTGATATTGTTCTTTCATCACAGAAAGATCCTCATCATACGTTGAAGGAGCTGGCTCGCGTCTGCATCATGGCTGACTGCACTCTCATCTTGGCTTGGAGGTAAGACCTGCAGCAGACTGCCAAGTGGACTGAACGGTTACTGACAGGACGCAGACAGAGAGGAGAGAGTACTTGGAAACTCTTTTGAATGTGTTATGTAATGCCTATTTGGGGTTGTAATGGGTATTTAATGGCTTTTCATACTTCAACTACTCAATTGTAACATTCAAGAAATGTTGTTTTATTATGTTGTTTTATTCTGGCCAGGATTGTCAGGTAGACATTTTGAGTTCTAGCCAGACTCCAGTTTGTTTATTTTTCTGTTGATTATGGAATATTGTGCTTTATAACGAACAAAAATGAATAAATAATCACAACTAATATTTTCTTCACGTTGGTTTGACAGTCCAGAGGAGGCAGGGCGTTACCTGGAAACGTATAAGTCGTACGAAAATAAGCCCGCAGACTTACTGAAGGAGCAAGTTGAGAAAAACTACCTGTCAAAAGTGTGTGGATTTCTATTTTAATAACTGTGAAGTTATTGCTATTTTTAATGTCGTCATTTTGACAATTTGAAACATTTTAACGTGATTGAGTGAATATGATGCAGTCACGTAGAATGTCAAGGAAAATTCAATGTAATAAGAGTATTTGCCAAAGTGGTGCAGTGTTTTTTTTAGTCTTTGAACAATGCAAACATGATTGGATTGGTTTGTTTTTAGGTTACTGATTGCCTGACCACTGTGAAGTCTGTGAACAAGACCGACGCCATTACCTTGCTGTCCACTTTCTCAGTGAGTACCACTACAGCGAAGATTATCCTCAGATTGCTGCTATACTGCAATCAGAAACTGATTTTATGGTGTACTCTGAATCAATCTTTTCACAATGAGATGATGAATTGTGTGTTGTTTTTTTCCAGTCGGTAGAAGGAATCATCAGTGCCTCTAAGGAAGACTTGGTTCTCTGTCCAGGCCTCGGACCACAAAAGGTGAGTTAAAAACACAAGTGCACCATATGAATATACAGAAAGTAGCTGGAACATTTCTTAAATGACCCTGTTGACATTTTGTGCTTGCAGGCACGGCGACTCTACGATGTGCTCCATAAGCCCTTCCTCGAGTCGAAGACAAAAGTCAGCTGAAAGTTCTTACCAAGGATGTGTGACAGCCTCCTGAAAAGAACAATAGATTTGAACAGCATGCGAAGACACAGCACATACACACTCTTCAGAGGGCTGAATTAAATACTGTAAACACTCTGTATTTACTACGGTGATGAAAGAAATGTGACTTCTCTGAGACTGAGAATTTTAAGATGTGAACTCTTTAGCTGTTAGAGTTGTACGCTGATTCTATGTTGTATTGAGTTAAGATTGTATCTCATTTGTTCACTGCTAAATTCATTTTTTTATGAAAATAAATATTTTGGAATATTTGTAATTTGTTTCTGTACAGTGTACCTTAATCCTTTATTACTTTGCTCCCAACAAGGAATAACCAGGGAGTGCTTAAATGTAATTTATTATATATTTATATATATACATACACACACACACACACACACTAAACTGCTTTCACAGATTTGGAAGAAGAGCAGTAAGGTTACTGGGGAAAAAAAAAAAAAAACTACGATCAGTACTTTGAAGATGGCGCTACTGGCATAATTTAAAAATGAAGCGGTGTTGCCTTTAGGTGCTCCTCCGGGATTCCCCATACCACATTCAGAAGTATTAGTTTTGAGCGGTTTGATATATATATATATATATATATATATATATATGTGTGTGTGTAAATTAGGCTGTAGCAACAGAGAGGACACCTTGGAAATAAAACGATACTGATATGAAAACGAAACAAATATAAAGTCGAACTAAAAATAAGGGGGACTCAAACTATAATTATGATATTTCCGACAGCACATGAAGGCGCTAACTTAATCTGACGTCAAAACAGGAAGTGTTTGTTCCACGCCAGTTGAATTCGAGTTGTTGTGGTTTTTTACCACTAATTTCACTGTAACGTTTAGTAAACAGTTTTTCTTCTTTAGGTTTATCTCTTTAAGGAAACCAAACGGTAGGCGAGTCGAAACAACAACCGCCGTCACACATGCAGGCAGAGAAAGAGAGAGGATGATATCTGTTTCAACACTGGGGACAGACTGCTCGTGCACGCTAAGCCTTCATCAGAGTGGTGGTGGGCAGAGCTGCGTGGGGTCATAGGTTATGTCCCAGCCAGCTACTTGCACCAGGATGCTGAGGAAGAGGATGCTGAGGAGGAGGACCCATGGCAAGATAAAGAATACTTTGGCAGTTATGGGACACTGGTTAGAATCTGTTAAGGACCATAATGTTTTGCATGTCAGAAGTTGCACATACAAGACTTTACTAAACTGATTTTCAGCAGCCATGCATTTAAGGATGGTAGCAATAAACATCAACATGCAGAAACCTATGCGAGTTTGGTAATCCATCACAGTAAACATATTTGCTACTGTCAAAGATATGTTAATCCTAGTATACAGTATTGTAGTTGCTATAAGGCGCTATTATTTGGTGGTGCGTTTAAAGACAACTTCAGAGATTCCAGAGAGCTGCAGAAATGCATCACATTCACAGTGTTTGTCTTCCTGTACTGAAATAAAAGTCTGAATCTCTGTAAACATTGATGTACCCATACTGCCATCTGCTGGACAAGGGGTGTTGCTACATGGTATAACCAGCATGGTGTATACATTGTCTTAAGTTTATCAGTGGCATTGAAGGTGTATGCTGTGGAGGTGAGCTCCATGGCAGAGCACACCAGACAGCTGGTGAAGCAGAACGGCTGTGAGGAGGCAGTCACGGTGCTCCAAGGACGAGCCGAAGAGATCGAGCTGCCTGAGCAGGTGGACGTCCTGGTGTCCGAGTGGATGGGAAACTGCCTGCTGGTAATGATGACAATGTTGCTTTATCTCAGTGCTATTACAGTTTTATTGGATCCCATCAGTCCCATTCAGGTTTGAATATACCACATTGTGTTTCTGTCTCTCCTTCCTCTGGTCTAGTTTGAGTTCATGGTGGAGTCAGTACTGCTGGCCAGGGCCCACTGGCTTAACGAAGGTGGCGTCATGGGGCCCTCATCCGCAGCCCTCTCCCTAGTGCCATGTCAGGCCAACAGCTATTATTCAGAGAAGATGGCCTTCAGGGAGCAGCTGTTTGGCCATCACTCCTCTTCAGTAAGGGCCTTTAGTCAGCTGTTCTCACTCAACACTGTCCTGTCTCACTTTTCTACCACTAACAAGGTCACAATATTTTATACAATTTTATTTCGATCTCAGGTGTGAAGTTAAAACATTTTGAATAATAATCTGTGGTTCCAGGTAGTGATTGTTTTTCTTTGTTTGAATTATCGTTATGTTTTTCCTACATGTTCTTTTCTACAAGGACGTGTTGGTAAGTAAATGGAACCCTTTGTATTGCAGAAGATTAGTCTTTTTTGGCCGTTTGTCATCGGCTGATAAAAGTTTGTCTAGTTGTGTTCTTACATTGTGCACACGCCCCACACTTTTAGTTTCCCTCAGGGATCGGTGTGATAACCATTTGTAACGATTTTTTTTAAATCAATACATTTTTTTGTCATATGTGCATATATTTAGCGAGATTGTTTTTGGAAACTTTGGTATATTTCCCTTTGAAACAGTGCCTCCCTTTGTTTTCTATCAATTTTCCTTAAAACATTTATCTGCTCCTGAACATGTTTTGAGTCACCAGAAGGTGAAAGTTTAATTTGTTCACTCTATTCTACCTGGGGAAATGGTTTAAGGTGTTCAGTCCCTGCATGGGGTATGCTAGCATAAAGAGACACTATATCGAAAGTTACCTGAATGGCATTCTCAGGAAGAGGATGAATTTGTTCAAACTGGACACAGCTGCAGGCGCCACCATAGCCAAAAGCATTTGGTGGATAAAGCGAGCTGTACTGGAGTAGAGTTGTGCAACATATTTCTATACAGAGTACATCACACACTGTATGGTTAACATTACTATTGCATACACTCACAGAAAGCTATCTTTGTATACGTTCTTTTATTTTGTAGTAATCTTATGGTATGTGTGCTTTGATTCTATCTGTCCTTTTCCCTGTTATTCATATAAGTTATCTGTGGCAGCCACCTCATTATCCCCATAGTGTTGAATAACCTTTCATCTCTGCAGGCCCTTGGCACAGCAGGAGTTCTTCACCAAGCCCAAGTTCAGCCACCTCATTGAGTCCAATGACTGGCCTCACTGCTCCTAGTGATGTCCCCACAGCTGGACATGTACACTCTGCAGGTCAAAGACCTGGAGGTACTGTGCGTCCTCCTTTTATCTGTAGTTGTTCCACTCCCCCACACATTGGGTTTTGCAACAAATCGAGCCCTGTGTTTCATTTCTCCGGAAATAAAGCATCAGTTTCATTTCCGTGGAAAAGTCTGGTGTTTTCCATGGATCCACCGCCTGGTTCACTGTTCAGTTTGAGAGCCTGGAGACGGGAGGTGCCACTGTGGAGCTCAACACCAAACCTAACTCTGAGTATAACAGCACAAACACATACTACCTCATGTTGTGTAGTTACAAAATTAAAAAGGATAGTTTATTCATGAATAGCAGTGCTTATGAGCGCTTAGAGCAATTTTAACAGCCTGTAACAGTATATCTGTTACAGGCTGCAAATAATGTTGTCGTACTTGTAAATCTTAGTGTCTGAAATCATTTTCTCTTCAGGCCCACACACTGGAAGCAGACTCTGTTCATGCTCGACAGGGCAGTTAGTGTGTACACTGAGGACGCCATTAGTGGAACCATCCGCAGGAACCCGGGACGCCACATGTACCCTGCGCTGGAGCATTAACTGGAGCAGAAACAGACAACTGCCAGGCAGACATTTAATCTTCACTTTGTACTCGACTTATCTGATTTATTGACTGTGTCCATAAAGTGGTGGTTGATCGTTTTATTGTCTTTCACATTTGTGATTCATGCAATGCGACTCTGTTACATACATCAGCCTCCCAGGAGTACTAACTTGACCCTTAACATGTAAATGGTGTTTTTGGATTTGCTCACTTGTATTTTTCTCCCTCTCTGTCCATAGGTTGGGACAAAGCGTTTGCCCATGTGGCGGTGACAGATTCTCCGTGAGCAAGTGGAGATCCACAGGAAAACAGTCCAAATGCATCTTCTGTTGAGTTTAGAGTCAGTGAGGTTCATCTGAAACGACTTGTAGTCCTGTGGTGTTAAGCGAGATAACTACAGGCCCAGGTGATGCATACAGCACACTATGAGCCATGTAATAAGAGCAGACTAACGAATAGGTTTCATGCAAATAATGAACTGTGGAGTGTTTTTGTTACTTTCACTTGAATGCTCATTGGCTAGGTGGGAAACGAGGCTTCATAGAAGACAATGATTGATAACTGACAAATTGTTTTTAACAGATATTTATGGTCTCGAAGTGCAACAAAATATATGGTTCAGTCTTCCACACTATGCTTTTATCATTATGTTTACCCTTATGTGCATATTGTTTTAAAATAGCCATTTACGTTACATAGTCATTTGTTATACATGCCATTAGGCTTGTATGGTAAGAAAACTTTAAGCATGAATATAATGGTTAGAGCCACTGAAATGCTACTATTACAAATGTCAAGTAGCCTTATGAGCTACAATGGACATTATAAAACAACATTGTGTTACTTGCAAAGATAATGTGTCATTCACAATAAATAATTCTAAACAAAACTGGAAAGTGAGTAAACTTGTGTTAAAATAAATCATATTCCAGTATTTTGGAGAGTTTCAACTACACTGTCTCGGTGTGTGCACTCCTCTTGGTCATGGCTCCGTTTTACTCTTTGCTTTGGCTCTGGAGCGTGTGTTGACCTCCGAGGATAAAGGCTGAGTGGGTATGGTTTCAGGAGGAGGAGGCCTGGAGAGTGGAATAAACTGGGGAGGTTTAACAACTTTGTATTTAACATCCTTTACCACACTTTTATCCCTTTTCTGCCTCAAGTGTTTATCACAGTGGCTCACAAACGTATCCAGCTTCACAAAGGTCTTGTTGCACACTTTGCAGTGATAAGGCCGCTGTCCTTTGTTGAGGCGTATGTGCAGCCGGATGTATGACGACCGCACAAAGGTTCGGCAGCACACGCCACAGTTCAGGTCCTCGGTGCTGCTCTGTGTCTTCTGGGGCTGGTTCAGTGCTGGTGCTGACGCTGGTTTGGCCTCGCCGGACGACTCCTCGGCCTTGTGTGAGAGCAGGAGTGACAGAGAGCGGAAACCCTCACCACACTGCTCACACTTGTACGGCCGCTCCCCCGTGTGTAGTCGAACATGTGCCAGGAGCCCTGCCTTCTGTGTGAACGACTTGTCACAATAGGTGCACTTGAAGGGCTTTTCACCCGTGTGGAGACGCTGGTGGGTCTTCAGATGCGAGGCTCGGCCGAAGGTCTTACCGCACTCTGGGCATTTAAATGGCCTGTCCCCGCTGTGGATGATCTTGTGGGCCATCAGGTGGGAGGACTGATGGAAGTACTTGCCACAGGTGCTACATCTGAACTTCCTTTCCTTGTTGTGGGAGGCCACGTGAAGGGCCAGGTGGGTGGAGGAGATGAAGGTTTTGGAGCACAGGCTGCAGCTGTGAGGTTCCAGACGGAGGCGGCGGTGTGGACGTCGCCCATTAGGGAGGCTGCTGCCCGCCTGGCACTTTAGACATTTGGAAGTACGGGCTGCTTTGTCCACATGCTGCTGTTTAGGAGGGGCTGGGGTGTCGGCTGAATCAGAGTCAGGCTGTCGTAGGCTGCATCCACAGTCTGAGCAGTGCCCAGTCTGCTGGTCTTTATCGCTGGTCTTATCCAACATGGTGCAATCTACATCCAGAGTGGGAGGTTGTCACTGTGTGACAGATCACAGGGACATCTAAAAGGGATTAACACATCATGATTATTCTGCTTTATAGTGGTGTAGCTGAAGGTAGACGTGCATTATACGAAGCACGCCCATGGCATATCAGATGTATTACAGCAGATCAAGGCTGAACCAGATTACGTTGTCTTTTTGTATTAGTTCCGCATAGTGTTGTGTCCACGATAGCACCAAAGATGACCCGATTACGAGGGTTGGTGAACTGGCTAACAGGCAGAACGTAACATGACACAACCATCAGAAAAAACAGAAATGCTCTAGCTGTTATTTGACAACAGATCAGGCCCAGCATCGCCCTGAACAATGGGGCTCCTTCCGCACGGGTAAATAGCACGTAAACAAAAGATTTTACGTACCGTGTTGATTCTTCCTAAGGAAATGTTGCACGTGCTGAACGTAATTGTCTCGTAAGGGCAGTTACAACATCACAATAACACAGCCCGATTACAACGAGGGTATAGCTTTTTGCTGCCGTGCGTCTTCCTGCAAGAAGCTGCCCGGTTTGTACCGATGACAGGCTGCAGCCTGCAGCATCATCTAGCGAGAGGAGGAATAACTGTCTTTAAGGTGAGAGTCAGTGCAGGCATTAAAACTCACGAGGAAAAACACAAAATATGAACTAAACTGACTATGAATGTTCCCTTTATAAGGTGTGCTTTAGTAATCCAACATCACAGATACAACTGACACATCATGATAATATTGTAGCTAGATTTATGATTTGTTGTCTTTGGTAGTGGGCTGCATTCAGAAACTTTACACGGACACGATGCCTGACTCCGTGCCTCGTAACTCGAAACTGAATAGTTTCATTTCATTGTAGATGTAAGAAGAAACGGCCTGTCTTTAGCTTTGATCTTGCATCTTTCTTAAGTTTCGTTTCGTACGAATGAAACAGGATGTGTGGAAAACAAAAGAGACAGAAGGACGTGTGGTTTTGGGGTTGGACATCAGCAGCCGTTATAAATAGTAGAACTGATGGATCATTACATTCTTTCGCAAACTTGGAAGCAGCAGAACTGATGCGACTCTTCACAAATATGACTCAGGTAACTTTACATTTGTTTTAACCAATGTGTCATAAGTATTATTTGATTAGCATATCAGAGTAAATAAATTAACTAAATACACGGTAGCCTATTGGAGGAAAATGCGTACAGCGATAGCCAACATAAAGATTAAACTATTTAATGCCAGAGAAATGTATCCGCGAAATAAAGAACATTTTAATTACTCATGAAAACAAACGGGGCGTTTTCTCAGAGATTAGGATTTAAAATCTGTTTTTTTTGTACTTTTCGCTCAAATGTCATCGAAAGCTAATTGATGTATTTATTTTGTATAAAGTCTGAATTTCTGCATGGATCCATTTCCTGGTTTGGCGTGAACAGTGTGATCAGCCTACAATTCCACAGAGCGGGATACAAACTTTTTCAGTATTTTCAAATCATTATACTGCTATATTGTTATTTCCGTGTTAGACTACCGCTGTGAGCGCCTCAGGTGAGGCAGAGCGGCTCGTCCTCTAATCAGAAGAAGTCTGTGCCGTCGGTGTGTGAATGATTTGTTTCTGATGGCCAGGTGGCACATTGCATTGATCAGACCATTTTCTATAACACAGATTTAACAAAGACCCGCCACTAAACTACAACTATAAGAATCAGGACAATAAGTCTATTCATTTAAATATTTCAGGAATTAACCAAAAAATAAAGCACCAATGAAACTAATGTACTATAAAGGAAGGGCGTAGGTTTGCATAGGGACTAGTCACGACCAAAGTTTGGGAAAGACACAATTGTCCCCATCAGTATTTTGTTAATTTTAATTGCCTCAGATCTCCGTGGTCAACTCAGCAGACACTTACACTTTAGTGCACCTATATGCTGAAATTCACGGTAAACTCATTCAAATGGCACAGATCGGGAGCGAGCGAAGGACCGTGAAAAGTAGCGGAAAGATTAACGTGAGACAACATCGGGTTCGTCAGACGAACATCCGGTTTTCAGAATAAGATGCCAACAATGTATGAATTATACTCGCATTAAGTATAAAACATGCTGCATCGTGAGTTAAAGGGAAAATACACCTAAATTGTGCGTAAAGTGTATTTATTCTTTGATCGCTGGGTAACCATCATCACCTTGGAGTTACAGCATTATATTGATGAACAGTAGAGCTGCTCTGACTGTCATGAAGACAGACATTTTTGCTGAATCGTGCTGAAACATTTTATTCCTGTTGCACAGCAGTGGAACGTTTCACATAAAGTCAGCACACTGAACACAGATAGTGAAGAGATAGAAGTGCTACTGTGTAAAGGGAATACTGCTGCTAAAAATAACCTTATTTGTTTAAAGTGTTTACAAACCAAATGTTATTGCCCTTTTGTTCATATAGCAGTACTTTTAAAATAAAAGTGCGCAATACACTTTTGAATTAATTATTGAATCGCAAAAAATCCATGCGATTAATCGCGATTAAATATTGTAATCGTTGCCCAGCACTACTAATAATTGCATAAAGGAGGAAAGCACTTTATTTGTAGCCTATTAAGTGCTGCAGAATAGATTTATTTTTAATTTTTTAATTTCTTTTGTCTTTTTTTGGCTGCACAACTGGGAAAAGGTCTTTATATATATTTTGGATATAGAATATACTGTTACTGTATATTGGCATTTTAGCAGAACGTTTTTTATTAATTTATTTAATTATTTATTATTATTTATTTGGTGCAGAATACTGTTTTGTATTTAAACTAAGGTTTTGTTACTGTTATTATGTTTAAATCAGTTCCAAATTAAACAAATGTTAATATATTTTAATAAAGTTTGCCTGTTCAACATAATATCAACCATGGGCGTCGTTAGGCCTATTTCAGCCCCCCCAAATAATTTGCCATTATTGGCTTTAAAAAAAAAAAAGTAATATATATTTTTATTTTGGTGATGTCATTAAATTAAACTATTGTTTCTCACATGGACAAGTAATTTATAACTCTAACATGCTACATGTGTGCGTGCGTTCTGGTTTGTATGTTTTCTCCCCCTTCAAATTACAATCCAACAGCCTATCATCATACTTATCGATATAAAGTTGATACTGTCAGGTCCATTCTCCATCCATTGTGTGCGGTCCCTTTAAGAATTAGGATTTGGGAGTGACGCGGATATTCTTTATTTGAGAAAAGTTCATATTTGTGTTGTCAAATTTCACTATGACCCTCAAATTCTGTCTCTTGTGCTATCATACACTGAATGCAAGCAAAACTACAGAGCAAAATCACACTCTTTCTGATTGAACCAATCTATGAACTGTCTGAAACAATACATATCCGCGGCCCCAAATGGGCCCCAAAAATAATTGCCGCGCACGTACTCCCCTTGGGGCTAAGCCCCCCCCTTTCTTTGAATCCTAGAAACGCCCTTGATATCAACAAACACTTTTTTAGATGCCGGGGGGGGGGGGGGGGGGGGGGGACTGGCAGTGTCCCTACCAATGCTGAGACCAAACCTATGCCCTTGCTATAGAGATATAAACAAAATCTCCAAACCATAAATCCCAAATCCCCCATGATGTGGCGGACACTTGGTACATTCCAATTGGCCACTTCCTGTATTTAAAGGCGCCGCTGTTTGAGGTGCGTCCTTTGCTCCAGTCTCCCAAGATTTCTATGACCTCATCAAAGTCATCCAGTGTTGCTGTTTAGAAGTTAACTAAATATGTGCACTACAACTGCCAACAATACTAAATGAGTATGATGTATGTACACAGTTGTTGTGTGTGTGTGTGAAACAAAAGCAATGTACCATCTGTTTGCTGAGTCGCCTGCAATGTGCATGAAGTCAACAGATAAACAAAACTCAACGAAAGGATGAATTAACTATAGAAAACTAAATTTGTGCAGGAGTGTTACCGACACTTACATTAGCTGTGTGGCAGCAGGTGCAGCCATAACATGGAATTGTTCTGCAATGTAATGCCATGTACTCTGACTCTCTTACAGCCTCTGAGCCTGAAAGGATGAGTTCGAAGACCAAGAAAAAAACTGGGTGAGCTGCACTTCTCTTTTTAGCTTGTTTTATGTGCAAACTGAACCATCAAGGGAATAACATGCTATGTTGACCAAAGTGCAGTGAAGCAACATTTGAGTTGAAATCATGTCATCCCCAGCCCGAGGATTGTATAGATTGCTTTTTTGAGGAAGTTGAATGTGTATGGCTGTATATTGCCTTTATGCCTAACATCTTGTTTGGACTGTAACTTCAGGCTCTTAATTTTTTACTGTTTTATTGTACAGAAGTAAGTAAAACATAATACATGCTGGTGGAACTTGACTCAAATCCCATCTCTTCCTACCTTAATTGCTTCAGGAGGACTCACTCTGTGTTGATTTTAATTTTAACTCTAGTTTCTGACTCTTTAATTCTCCCGCTTTGTTTAGAACGTCCTTCGGGGCAACATCTCCACCCTTCATTGACTACCTGCAAGATATTCTCCGTCGGTATCCAGATGGTGGACAAATTTTGAAGGTGGGTAAAATGCTCCGTCAAATACTGGTTTGTAATAATTTCTTTGTGTAGCATTTCATATTTTCTCACTGATGGATAGCATTATTCTTTAGATCTAGCTAATAAACATGGATTTTGGAAGTCCATTTCTTTTGGAAAGACCAGCGTGGTTGCTAAACATGTTGATCCTGTTTGAATTATTTTGAATCCTGAAAACAGGTGATTTTATTTGATTTACAGACTTTTAGGATACGAAATATGAACGAAATATTCAAATTGCACTTTTTGTCCTGTCAATAAAACAACAAATGATGTGTCACACTCAATGAATGCATGGATGACATTGGTTTTTAATTGTATAAAACCAGAGGGGCCCCCACCCAGGGACAACACATGAGCAAGTGAGCTTTTAGCAACATCTTTTTGAATTGAATGTATTGTGCCCTGTTAAATGATAATGGCAAACAAATGAAGACCGTTTCTGTTTAATGTTGACACATTGGCTGTATTCCCCACAATATAAATCTCATTTGGGTTAACTGGTCAGTGAAGCAGTCCTTTGTGTTGCAGGTAAATAACTTCATGTAATGTCACCAACTGTGAGAGCCTGTTTAAGACACCGCTCAACAAAAATGTATCCAATGTTAGGGTCATGCTGAGTAATCTGCCAATTTTCTAATCTTTTTCATTTGCTTAGCTTGACACTGTGGTGTAAAACATGCTCCCATAAGTTGTTGTTTTTCACAGCAGAAATTTTCAGTTGTCATGGTAGGAAAAGCACGGGTGTTACTATATAAAAACAAGTCTATTTAAGTTTACAAGTAAGCCAAAACAGTGCTCTAACACGCACAGTACTAGGAACCTGAAACTGCAGCAGCTAAATTGAATTCAGGCATCATTTATAATATCAATAGCATCTATACTATTCCGACAATGATGTGTCCAAATGTTCTGGTAATGTTGGGATCTGGCAGGAGCTTGTTTGGTTATCAGCAAGTATGAAAATTTAATTGTTGACATTAATACAAATATGAATAACGGGGCACCACCCTGAGATCAGGGACCAATAACCAAACTAGGGGATGGACTCAAATTCAGAGAGACACGGGGAGCAGAAGAATAAATGTTGTTTTTTAATAACCAAGACAATGTTAAAAACACAACTTCCAAAAGTCCAAAAATGTGTAATACAAAATCCAAGGAAAACCAGAACGGCAAAACACTAAACGGGATCAGGTAATTTGGAAAAAGGCACGAGGGATACATACAGGATAGCAGGGAATATTCCGGGAAGTAGAGCAGAAAGGACGAACCAACAAAGACGGGGGAACAGGGTTTAAATACACTGGGAAGGTGTAGGTGATTAGACACACAAGGGTTCAATCAGGGGCAGGGCACACAATCACAAAGGCGGGAAGTGAAGTCAACATGGGACACGAGGCAAAATAAAATGGAAACAAACTAAACCAAGACCGTGACACTCAATCTGCCCATAGTCAAAGTACTATTGCACATTAAGAGTGAACAGTGAAGGTTGAATTCAAACACAAGCCACGATATCCAGCTATTATCACAATACACATACACAAAGTAATCTCAGAAAACTGCTCTTTAAAGTATAACCGAGTTTATTTACTTCTAACAATACTGATCAAGTCAATAATATAAACTAACAATTACAATAACAGGGGGAGGGAGCGAGAACTACAAAAATGGCGGCCGCAATCGCGTATGTGATTACGCTATGCAAAACTACAAAAATGGCATAGAATCAACGATTATTTAATGGTCTAATGAGGCACACAATACAGGCCGTGCTTACACACCACATACGTCTGAGATGAGCATAACAACACAACCTGTATGTGTGTGTGTGTGTGGGTTAGTTTAATTAAACAATAAGGAGAATAAAAACATTAAAAACAAGGCAGACCCTCACCGCCGCAGTAAAATACAGCAACTGTTACTTTATCACACAGAAACCTGACTGGCAAACTCAGATTCGGCAGTCGCAGCACTGGACCTTTAACTAATAAAGCACAGATTATCAACCTTACTCGCGGTGGTGGATTTAAACACTATTATAGCTGTATGGATCAGCACTCTTACAACAGCATTGAAACAACACAACAGTAATTTTTACACGGAACTCGGTGGTCTGTAAAAATGCACAATAACACGTTAACATTACAGTTAAACTTAAAAACAAAACAAACAAGGTTACAAACACACTATGACCTATCTCTGCCCAGACAAAAGCGTCTTACTTTGAAATTGCTTCGTAGCGGACGGTGCGTTTCTTAGAATTTCTGTCTTCAGCTTTGGTGGTAGCGCTGATACTGTATGTCTCGGTGACATCATGGCCGTATCGCAGAGGTCCCCCGTGGTGCCTATAGCCCTCCTCCAATGAGACCCCAGTGTTGGTTTGGACCCAAATCTCACACATAGATGAGATTTACTGTCTGGTGGAGTTTGGTGTGGTTAAACTCGAATCAGGCTGTTGAACTGCTAGGTGGGCAAAATTCCTTTGTTTCAACCACATTGTGAAGTCCCAACAGTAAAAAAAAGCACTGATAAAATAGTTATCAACACATGTTAACACTGGATTGCTTCTTGTTAATTGACTCAAACATTGGAGTTATTTTCCATTTGACTATACACTTGAGATACCAGTTCCATTCATCATAAAATTATATGTAAATATAAGTCGATACAATTCAACAACACTACAAACTACACCCTCAAAAATGACCAGAAATGACTTTCTGAGGCAATGTCAACAAAACTGAACATAATAAACCACATTTATGACAGAGCCACTGAATTTGATTGTATTAGATTTAGCCTTAGGTGTAGTGAATCAACTGGTAACTCCATGTAATGTTGATAGTCTATCAATTTCTCACTCTTCTTAAAGTGGCACTCTGCATGCCCACAAAGGTGTTTTGAATTACTCTCGGTGATTTGACCCTCAGTCTTGTGGAAACTGGTTGGAGATGTGCTGGAAAGGACATTTCGCCAAGCACTATGCACTAATGAGAATGATAAAGGGGAATGGGTTTCCCACCCATACATTAAACAAAACAACAGATAAGTGAGGGAGATGTCAATCAAGCATAGTTTGTACACGCCCACACAGTCCTGAGACGAGGTCTAATTAGGCAACATAGTTGAAGTAAAAACACCTGTGTAGTTGGACTAAGGGTGTGCTGGGGCTTTAACTATACTCTTATGTTGCCCAGATTTGGAGCTTGGCATAGTGGCAGTTGTGCAGAGGAACGTGGTAATCCTTGAGTATTAGATTTGGTCTGCTAAGCTCTAATGATTATTGTTTTTATCTGGCAACAGGAGCTGATTCAAAATGCAGATGATGCTCAAGCCACGGAAGTGGTTTTCATCCATGATGAGAGAAGCTATGGGACTGAGAGCCTTTGGACCAATGAATTGGGAGAATACCAAGGTATGTCGCATCTACAACAGTCGTGATGTATTTTTCAACAAAAATGTATATGAGAAAATTGATAAGAGCAAATATTCTTAGCCAGTAATCAAAATGTCAGCCCTGGAGTTTGTATGCGATTGTTGTCATGTGGGTTTCCTCCCATAGTCCAGGTTGTTTTACCAAAGAGAAAAAGTGTAATGTTTTATTCATTAAAACTAAATTATTTTTTATCTTGACAATACATTTTCTGGCGACCTGACACAAACTTTGTTCTTATGATCACTTGATAGGATGGCATTAGGGTCTAATATGCTAAATCATTTATATTCAGCAGAAATAAGGATGTCTTTTCTACATTTCTCTAAATGTATAATAGACTGTGGTCACCATATTAGGATATTAAAAGAGCTTAAAATGTTCCTATTTTAGTCAACACTTTACAATATTGAGACCTTCTGGCGGAAATTGCCTCATGTCTACTGATTATATGTTTTCAACCTCAGCCTCTTAAACCATTATACCTCACTCAATGCATGCTGGGATCGATTTCAACATCAGCAGTTATAGAACATTTCACACTTTTCAACGTAAACCTTCATAATGTGTCCTAGTTTACTTCCTGCGACAGTGCAAGGAACCTATAGAAGAAGTAAGGGTCATTATGTCACTGAACTTGTATTGGTGCCCAGCTGGAGGAATTAATATTAACCAGCTCTCTAGATTTGTTTCCTATTGTTGTCAGGAATCACCAAATTGAAAAAATTAATGAACACATTAAATTATTATTGTGTTTGCAAAGGTCCTGCTCTCTACGCCTACAACAATGCAGCGTTCACTGAGGATGACTGGAAGGGAATTCAGATGTCAGGGCGGAGTGGCAAGCGCAATGACCCAAACAAAGTCGGGAGGTTTGGAATCGGCTTCAACTCTGTTTACCACATAACAGGTGAAACTATGTACAGATACACTTGTATACCGAATTGTCTTAGTTTGAATGTTTGTCTTTAGAGAACATGCATAACAAATTCATGGGGTAATATCTGTTTTACTTCATTCACAGATGTGCCAAGTATATTCAGTTCAGAGCACCTTGGCATGATGGACCCCCAAGAAACAATATTTGGAGAAAGGAGGGGGGGTTTTCTGTGGTCGTTGGATGATGCAGAACACCAAGAAGCTCTAACTACTATGCATGATCAGTTCCAACCCTTTCGGGATATAGTTTCACTTGTAAGCAAACGAGAATGGTCAAAAGTCATCATGGAGGATCAGCACTTTGACGGGTCAATTTTCAGGTTCCCCTTGCGCAATAAGGCATCAGATATTTCAGATAATCTATATGACTCGAACAAGGTGGTTGAGCTTTTTGATAGCTTCATTATGGATGCAGACTTGAGCCTTCTGTTCCTGAAAAATGTGACCTCTGTGTCCTTGATACATATCGATGTACATGGCACTGTTAACACCAGACTTGAAGTGAACTCCTCAGTCCCCACAGATGTCATTCTGGAGTCAGAAGAGGAGTCAATCGTCGAGGGTTCAACAAGGTTCAAATTGATAACCCTCAACTCAGAGGACCAAAAAGAAACAAAGTGGCTTGTGACAACATGTACCATGAAAGAAGGCAATGTGGAAAATCTTGATTCACTTGCAAAAAAGTTGAGCTTTTTCCCTCAAGTTGACTTGGCATTCCCTTGTGGTGAGAAGAGAGACTGTAGTGAGAGTAGACTGAGCTGCTTTCTTCCTCTCCCAAACAATGAATCCAACAAGACGGGACTCCCAGTTTATATCAACGCGTGCTTTGGCCTCACAGACAACAGAAGACACATCAAGTGGCAAGAGGAAGACCAGAAACATGACGAACATGCTGTGTGGAATGAATTGCTGATGAAGGAGGTGCTCCCACAGGCATACCTCATGATCATGCAAGATGCCATCAAACTTGCCCAAGAATCTATTCTGCCTGTCTCTTCCGTGTACGATCTTTGGCCAGATATCGCCCAGATAAAGCACAAAGACAAGTGGCATGCCGTTGCTCTGGATGTTTTTCATCACTTATTCCGACAGAATGTGGCTGTCCTCTCTCTTGCCAAAGATGAAAGAGAGTTCATCACTCTATCGGAAGCCGTGTTCCCCTGTAATGGACCAACAAGCCCTGACATAGTGGCTGCCATTAAAAGGACTTTGGTTTCATGTGGAGAAAATCTTGTCACTTTACCAGGTAGTGTTGCAAGAGCTATAAAGGAGGCTTATCCACACTTCAACACCCTAAAACACGTGACTCCAACTTTCCTAAGGGACATTCTCCGTAGGGTGCACATCATCTCTAAAGACGACAAACTCTGGCTTTTGGAATATGTCTTAAGTGATGGCAAATACAGAGAACTCGAGGGTCTTCGGCTACTTCCACTCAACGATGGCTCTTTCAGATCTTTCTCAAACAAAGAGGAGGACACTGCTTTAATTCACAGCAAAGAATTTCCAAGGTAGGTTTTACATTTTTGGCTTCATTCTCTTTACAGTCTAGATATTAAATAGATTAACAGAAGTTTATAATAATTTTATGTAATTTATAGCAATTACATCACAAGCTACTAAAGCTATTACATACTAAGTTTCCAAATGTTGGCGGCAGTTCTCCAAAGCCAAACCTAGGATCATTTGTATTGATTGGCTCACACTTGCTTCAGTATATTATTTGACAATTACTATTATTTATTTCTGTTTAGATTGTAAAAGAATAAATATTTGGTCACTCAATGTACACCAAGATCATATGCCAATGTCCTCGTTTTTGTTACATGCACAATGAACAAACTTATCTTCTGTGCAGAGTCTTGCTACCATTCTGCAAACACCTCTTCATCCCAGATGATCTCAATCCAGCCTGCAGTACCCACCTGAAAGAACTGGCCAGACAAAGTAGGAAATGTCATTTTATAGTAAAGTGATTTGAAAGTTATTTACATCTGTCATCTGCATGTTTTCACACTACAAAAACATTTATGGATATATATATTTTTTTTAAATCTATTTTTCAGATTTCTTCAAGGTCATCAACATTAAAGCACACCACGTTGCCGAATATACAAGGAGGTATTTGCCACAGGACTGGAAGCAGGTGAAGACGGGGCTTGTTACCTGGGACATCAGCAGCAGCAGCCAACATCCACCTTTAGACTGGCTCCAAGAATTCTGGAAATTTCTCAACACTCACTTCAAAGAGTTAAGTAGTTTCACTGGAATGCCATTAATACCAGTCAGTCCCCTCTCTGACAGTCAGCCTGTGTCACTAGCAAGACTAGAGCAGCAAACAACCCTCATTTTTCAGAAAAGCAAGCAGGTGAACTTGCCAGAACAAATAGCTCAGTTGGTAAACAAAGTCGGTGGCACAGTGGTGAGAGGAAACGATTGGCTCACACACAAAGACCTCGACTCGTATGTGTTGTGCCCATCTCCAAGGAGTGTCATGAAAGTCTTGGCAAATTTAGATTCTCAGGATCTCATCAGAGAATTCAAGACTGCATCTTACAAAGCACGAGAAGAACTGAAAGATTATCTCTCTCATCTGGATTCTCGTGTGGATGCTCTCTCAACCACTGAGAAAGATTTACTCTCAAAGTTGCCTCTGTTTCAGACCATGAAAGGCTCCTGTGTTGCAGCTCAATCAAAACAAGCTGTGGATCTAATTTCTGGTCTAACGGTACCAGCAGAGTTCCCTATGCCCGATTCCGTTGTGAAGTGTGCAACTGAGGCTGATCGCAGACTGTTACAGCTGCTCAAAGTTAATCTCTTGAGCACCGCTAACGCGACCAATCTTCTCATTGATTGTATCGAGAGGGGGACTTGCAGAAAAGAAGACACTGAGAAAATCATGACTTGGATTTTACAGCATGGTGATATCCTTTTCTCTCAAAGTCAGACCTTGAAATGCAGATGTAAGGACTTGAGCTTCATTGAAGTGAATGGAAATCTGAAAAAGACCTCAAGCTTTTTTGATCCAAGAATTGAAAACTTTAAAGTCATTTTTGAGTCTGATTTCTTCCCCCCACCTTCATACACTCACACATCACAGATGCTTCAAAGCCTAACAGATCTTGGATTGCTATATAAAGAAGTAGATGTGTCACCTGAGCACTTGCTTCGAGCCGCCACACTGATTGATAGACGTCATGCTGATTCTCGAACTGAAGCTCTCAATAGAGCTCAGGTGCTCTTGAAGATGTTGGACACAAATGATCTACTCTCAAAGTTTTCTGAAGACCAGCTTCATCGCCTCAAGATGCTAAAATGGATCCCATGTCCTAATCCTGGTAATTCTTACCAGACAAGTTCTTTCTTCTGCCCGAATGAAATAAGAGATTCTGTGTACAACAACATTGTTGGGCATGTGATGCCTCTGGTGGAAAAGTTCAGTGACAGAATGAGCAGCCAACTTGGTCTGAAACGCCTGCCCCCACCTGAAAAAGTGATCGAGAATTTGTCAGTCTTGACATCAAAAGCACAGGAAATGTCTGATCCTGACACAAATGCGGATTTCAAAAAGGAGTTGCATAGCATTTACAAACACATGCAAGACCACATTTCTGTATATTCAACAAAGATGAACAAGGACACACCCTGGCTGTGGAGCCACAACCAGTTTGTATCACTGCAGGATCTGGTTCTAGACTACCCACCAAATCTTGATCTGAGCTCTTACATTGGGAAGGTGCCAAATGAATTTCGGCCATACAAGAACTTGCTCCGAGAGTTTGGCCTGAGAATGTCGCTTTCAGATGAAGAAATTATTGGTATTCTTTATTCCATCCAGAAAACCATTGAAGAAAGGCAACAGCCATTTGCAAATGCCTCTGAGGTAAAGGTGTCAGTAGAAATTCTAAACTGGCTGTGGAGAGAGAAGAAGACAGTTCAGGATGACATCCCAGTGCCAGTCCTCATAGAGGGTGAACAACATACCCTAAAACCACTGTCAACTGCAGTCTTCTGTGATGTCAGCAAAAATGGGTTGAAGGAGCTTACGTACAGCGAGGAGGAAATTCACGTTGTACATGAAGAAATCCCAAAAGCAGCTGCTGAATGGTTTAACATCCGATTTCTCAGTACCCACATCCTTGATCCAGAGTTAGTGGGAATAGAACAGTGTGGACAATCTGAACCGATAACAATGAGGATAAAAAACATTCTTAAAGAGTATGATGAAGAAAGTGACATCTTCAAAGAGCTCATTCAAAATGCAGAGGATGCTGGGGCAGATGCCTGCAAATTCTTGGTGGATTTCAGACTACACAAAGATGGCCCTGAAAGTCTCATTGACCCTGACATGACTCTTTGTCAAGGACCTTGCCTTTGGGCATTTAATAATGAGCAGTTCACAGCTGAGGATTGGAAAAATGTTGTCAGAGTTGGTTCTGCCTCGAAGGAAAACAAGGTGGAAAAAATTGGAAAGTTTGGACTTGGATTCAATACTGTGTATCATGTGACAGATGTTCCTTCTATCCTCAGTGGCAACAGTCTTCTCATACTTGATCCAAATGTGACACACCTCAAGAAGCACATCAAAGTTAATACAAATCCTGGAATCAAGTTGGATCTCTCTCAGAAACGACTTTTTCATTGCTTTCCTGGTCAGTTTGGACCATATGAACGCATTTTTGATTGTAATTTCAGCAGACAAAGTCCCCCTGAGCCCTATCCAGGCACTCTGATCAGACTACCTTTCCGAACTGAAGAAGAGGCTTTAAAGTCAGAAATAAGTTCAAAGGTGTATCACAAAGACGATATCATCACTTTTCAACAGCACTTTACTAACAATTCACAAACGCACCTGCTGTTTTTGAAGAACATCAATACATTGTCTCTACAACGTATCTCAAACAATGTATCAACTCCTCCAAGAGATGATGAAATAGAAACCGTCCTCACTGTCTCCAAAACCACTGTGAGTACGATGAGGATTACTGATGAAACCAATTTGTCAAAGCAAAGTGGAGCTGAGAAATTATTGATGAAACTTGATGGAAAATGCGAAGAAGTCATTGACTGCAGCACAGTCAACATTGTCCAAATAACTAGTCAGCAATCTGGTGTAACTGAAGTCCAGCCCTGGCTACTGTACAACTGCTTTGGGACACATCGGTCGTTGCAAATGGCCCTGAAAGAAAACAAGCAAGCCAGGTTCTCTTTGCCCATTGGGGGGGTTGCTGTGCCTTTGCAGATGGATCCAGAAACAGGGAAACTGGCCTCATTACAAACTGATCTTGTCGGACAGGCATTTTGCTTCCTCCCTCTTTCCATTCACACAGGTCTTCCAGTCAATGTAAATGGAACATTTGCTGTGACAAGTAACCGAAAAGGTCTGTGGGAGAGTGGGGTGAAACATGACTGGAACAAAGCCCTTCTTCAGGATCCAGTAGTGACGGCATATGTTACTGCACTTTTGGCATTAAAGAAAATGTCTGAAAACAAGCAACTGGAACCTTACAGTTATCACACATTTTTGCCTGATAGAGAGAAAGTGAGTGATACTTTCAAGCCTTTGGTTGATGCATTGTACTCCACCATTGCTCAGAACTCTATTGGCCCAGAGCTCTTTAGTGATGGAGAACATTGGTGCTCAATTAACAATGCCATATTTCTACATGAGAGCATCGAAGAGGATAAGGACATCAGTGCACTTGTAGTGAAGGTATGCAAGGAACATGCAAAAGCACCCAACCGTGTTGTTCCTCTTCCACTGTGGTTGAGAAATGGCTTCAAACAGTCTGGCCTTGAGAAAGTTTTACAGGAGAGAACATGGAACTGGGACACGTTTTACCAAGAAGTAGTGTTTAACAACCTTACTACCATGGATTCTAAGACTAGAGATACTCTTGTGCTGCATGCTATTGACCTAAATAACAAAGACATTGACAAACTACTGGTCTGCTATCCATGCATCCCCACAAAAGGTGGACAGCTCCAGCTTATCAGGAAACTTGTGAATCCGTCAGGGAGAGTGTCCTGTCTTTTTGAAATAGAAGAGGAACGCTTGCTTGGTGGGACAAAAAATGACTTTTGCTCCCCCAAAAGGATTCAACGCTTGTTGGAACTTGGAATGGCAAATGATGATCTCCCGCTGGAAGACATCACACAGAAAGCAGGCACAATCCCCAAAACCTGGAGCACAGACAAAAAGAAGGCATATGGGCATTTGAATTGCCTTCTTGAACTTATGAAGAGTCACACGAATGACAAAGACTCTCCCCACTGGGAAACATTAAGGATGACTGAATTTCTCCCAGCATTTTCCCCCGGTGACACAAAAATGGACAGAAATGTAACATTTCAAAAACCCACTGATATTTTCATTGGCAAATGCTCCCCACTCGTTAACATGACACAACATGTGCTTGATACCAATCTGAAAATACACAATAATGATCCAGTCCTGCACATTTTGGGAGTTCATGACAGCCCAAGTCCTGAGGAAGTGCTTCAGCAGCTGCAAGAAGCCTGTGAGCAATCTGAAACCATTGACGCGTCCATGCTTCACAAAATAGCATCTGAATGCTATAAGTTCCTGGATCTGTGGCTCGGTGATTCTGGGGATTCCACTTTAATTTCACAGAGGGCAAATTCATTCCCATTCATTCTTGTTGGCAATACGTTTGTAAATGTGAATTGTGTAGCTGAAAATGGGCAATTTGAAGCAAAACCCTATCTCTACATTCTTCCAACTGCCTTCAATGGTTTCAGGAGGCTCTGGGAAAGTGTAGGTGTTGAAAAATGTTTTACAACCATTCAGTTTCAAAATGTGCTTCAGGAACTGCACTCTCTACATGGTAACAAGACCCTGCCAATGAGTGATCTAACAATTTGCCTCACAATTCTCAAAGAAGGGATATATGAGCCAGAAGAGAAAACAACTATTGACTATCTCATACCCAACGAACATGGTGTTTTACAACCTGCAAGTGAGATATTTTACAACGACAGCCCATGGATGCCAGTCGCTTCAGGTGTTGTATTATGTCACAAGTTTATGCCCCGTGCTTTGGCATGCCACTTTGGAATCAAAACTACCAGGCATTGTACCCTCCAAAACTGCGAAGTTGAGAACACTTCACCATATGCTTTTCAGTTTGAACAGCAGGAACAACTAACTGTTCGAATTAAAAACATAATTTCAGCCTATCCAGCTAAGAAGGATATCCTTAAAGAGCTTATTCAAAATGCTGATGATGCAGAGGCAACAGAAATTCACTTTGTTTGGGACAAAAGACATCATGGCAAAGAAAAAACATTTGGGGAGAAATGGAACCCGCTGCAGGGTCCAGCACTGTGTGTGTTCAACAACAAAGTGTTTTCTGACACTGACCTGGCTGGCATTCAACAGCTGGGAGAAGGAGGAAAGCACAACTCTCCAGGGAAGACAGGAAAATACGGAGTAGGATTCAACTCTGTTTACCATCTGACTGACTGCCCCTCAATCCTCACTGGAGATGAAATACTCTGCATTTCTGATCCCAATCAGAAATACATTGAAAGTTATTCAGACAAACCACTCTCTGGCACTGGCTATAACCTAGTTGACACTTTCAAGAACATGTACATGGATGTCTACAAATCTTTTCTTCCAGACCAATTTTCTCTTAAAGAAGGCACCATGTTCAGATTACCTCTAAGGACCATGGCAAACGACTCTAAAATATCCCTGAATGGAGTCACTGACGAGGATATGGAAGAACTATGCTCTGCACTCTCTGAAGATCCCGAAGGACTAATTCTGTTTCTGAAAAACATCTGCAAAATAACATTCCATGAAATCCAGGAACATTCAGGGGAGCTTGAAACCATCTTTGAAGTTGAAAAAAGTGTACCAGAGGAATGCAGAGAAAGAAAAGAGGCTTTTGTAAAACTTCAACAAAATGCGCTGCAATCTGACAAAGCAACAACGGCAGACAAGGCTGTTTATGAAACCTTGATTTCAACCTCCAAGAAAAGACAAACTAGATGGATCATTGCGGAACAGTTTGGCTCATTTAAAATCAATGGTGACAGAGAGCTAACACTATCAGACAAACTTCCCCAAGTAGCCATAGCAGCGCGCGTGAGCTTAAAAATCGGCAAGAGTTCAGATCCAGCACTATCCACACCTATGGATTTTAATGGACAAGCCTTTTGTTCACTTCCTTTGCCAGGGAGAACTGGACTGCCAGTGCACATCAATGCAAACTTTGAGGTAGATTCTGCCAGGAGAAGCCTTTGGAAAGAAGATGGGCAGAGTTGTAAATCTGACTGGAATGAATCTTTGAGACAGAATGTCATTGCTCCACTGTATGCCGATCTCCTCCATCACATCAGCTGTGGCATTGCGAAAAAGAAAAGCCCTTGTCAACATATTAGGTCATGCTATGTATGTTTTTGGCCAACTGTGTCCAAAGATGTTGGCCAAGAATGGCATGAAATGATACACGAGGTATACAGATCAATCAAAGAAAGAGGCCTTGATGTGATTCCAGTGATGAAGAGTTCTACTCAAATAATTGCAGGCCTAAAAGTTATGCAGTACTCCTTTGACTGGTGTAACGTCAGAGAAACTGAGACAACTAAGGCACCTTACCTGACACACTCAGTAAGAGATGAGATCCATCCCATTTTGGAAGATCTTGGAATGACATTGGTTCCGCCTTCCATGCAACAAGTTTGGAGAAGTTTCAGATCCGCTGACATTGAAGTGAAAGATGTGAATCCTTCAACTGTCCAGACTTTCCTGAGAGAAAAAACCCTCAATGACCCAACCCAAACAGATGAGCAGTTACCGTTGCCCATAACTGCCACTCTGATCAGAGATGAAACAAGATTGTCAAAGCTCTTGAGTTTCTGCTTAAATGGTTTGGACTTGAAAAAGGTCACCAAGGATAACTCCAGTTTACTCAATGGGCTACCACTTCTTCTCACAAGAGATAAAGTTTTGAGAGTGTTTAACTCCAAATCTCCTAAACTGATATCAAGATATGAAGGTCTGTTCTTTGGCTACGAGGCCCAATTTGCAGATTATCAGACCAACATAGAGTACATTCATGCTCTACAAAGTTTAAGCCTTGTCAACAGTTTGACGGTTCCCTGTGCAGCGGAATATCTGAAGCCGTTAATTCAGCAGCGTCTCCAGAAGTGTGAAGTTGATGGACACAGTGGCCTTCATGTCCCAAACAAGACCATGTTGGAGTGGTTAAAATCACTTTGGAAGTTCTTAATGAGTGAAGTTAAACTTGCAACATCTAGTGATGATAAACAAGGCCTGACATTAAGTGATGTGAGGCAACTCTTCAGTGACTGTTGCATTTTACCCGTTGTGTTTCCAAGGTCAAACAACAAGCTCTTTCTGCAAACAATGAAAGACATGCCAAGTGTGATTCAGTTTGCCTTAGAAAAAGACATATCAGGCATCCTCTTTAAACTTGGTTTTATGAAGCTTGACCATGCATTCTTCACAACGTCTGTAGGCCTACATGTTTTTTCACTTCTAGGCTCAGAACTTCTGGATGTGAATGATAAAAGCTCTGTGTTGGACCAGGTCGTCAACATTAACCACTCAGAGTTTTCCAAGCTTTCTAATAAAGAGATGAAAGAGCTACAGTGTTTCCTGCAGTCTGGAGTATCCAAGTCCAAAGACAAGCAAAAGTATCAGAGAAACCTCAAATCGTTGCCATTATTTGAAACAATCCATGGTAACAGAGTGAGGATCGATGGGCCTAAAAAGGTATTTATCCTCAACAGTATGTATTCAAATACATTTCCAGATCTGTTCATGCTGTCCAACAGCAGCAGCATTTTTCTCCAAAATAATCCAGATAACTGCAATCTGTCACAAATATTGGAAATCCAAACCCTGACTGATTTGGACTATTTCATGAAGTTCATTCTGCCCATTGTACACACACTCACAGAGATGCAGATGCTTTACTGCCTCAAACTGTTAATGACACCACAATTCAGTTACTCTCAGGATAGGGAGAAAATCATCCCCTCAATGAAGACAGTGAAATTAATTCCCAATTCTCAAGGCAGATTGGAGACGGCATCATATTTCTTTGATGACAGTGTCGAGCTATACAAGAAAATGGTGCCCCAGGAGAGATTTGTGCCTGAGCGATTTTGGACTGAGATGCGTGAAGGAAATCTACTAACAACAAAACCGAAAGACTTACTCAGAGAACTTGGGATGAAGCATGTTGTGTCAAAAGATGACATAATCAATTTTGCACAACAAGTAGAATCAGAAGCAAAAGAAAACGGTCAACTTGTAGAGTTGAAGAAGAAATCAACACTCATTTTCAAAGCAGCCTTGAAGATAGTGAGTGACGACGAACACAAAGGGGGAAAGTTTCTGGAGAGCATAGCTGACATCAAGTTCATTTTTCCTGTGAAAATTCAAAAAGAACTGTGCAACTATCACCAACCATTTGCTGCTGAGAGAACTGCTGTTGGAATAAGAGGGTCTTTGATGGAAAGCGATCCCAAGCATCAAGAATTGATTTGGTCTTCAATGCCAATTATACATCTACCGGTTTATATGTCACAGAAGCTCCTGAAAATGATGAAGAATGCAGGAGCGCTTGAACAACCACCTTCACACTGTGTAACCACGAACATGAGCAACATCTGTCGGTCACCATGTAAAACTGACAAGTTGCTCCAAACCCGTGCTAAGGTGTTTCGAAGTGTGTATGCCTATCTGCAAGCAAACGGGTTTGAAGGACAATCATTGGCTGGTCTTCCAGTTGTGCTGGTTGAAAGAAACAAAGTACTTGTGAGTACTGATTGTGCGGTTTTTTCACTCCCTGATGACCGTGAGTTCAGACCGTATTTGTACAACATTTCCCCGCAGGATGTTATATTCGCAGACTTCTTTAAGAAAATTGGTGTAAAGGACAAACCTACTGCAGCTCAGTATTGTAATGTTCTGGCAGCAGTTTATGCCGATTCCTGTGATAAACAACAACTAAACCCAAACCAACAGAATACCGTGAAACGTGCTGTTGAGCAGTTTTTCAAGTCAATCAACACTGAAGGAAACCAGTCCCTTGACGATGTAAAGACTTTGTATCTTCCTGCAGTAGATGGTAAACTATACCCATCATGCACAATCTACTACAATGACACAGTGTTTGAGATCAAAAGGTTGGAAGAAGCGCTGGAGAATAAGTTCCTGTTGCTCGAGAAACTCAGTGAATGTCATTTGGGCAGTGACAGATATCAGCATCAAGGATTGCTGCAATTGCTGCCTCAGAATTTCAAGCCTAAAATGCTGACTCAATTCACTGAGGAGAAATTAGTGGAATCACACATGCAGCTTTGTGAGCTTGAACCGGACTGTGATTTTAGTGGATGGTTTGACAGACATCTGTCCTCACGAGCATTTACACATGGACTAATTTGCCTGATCAGAGAGCAGTCTAAAGGAGAAACGACACAAGAGGATGCTACTGACATGTGCAGGAAGACTTTTGGCAGTATTCAGATTGTTTGCTGCAAAAGTCTGAAAAAAAAGCTTTGGGTGAATAAACAGCCACTAAACAAAACTGCCACTGACACCGATGTTTTTGTCAAACAAGGGCAACAAGGTTGCACCTTTTACTTGAAACACAACAATACCATGGCTCCCAAGGTTATAAGTGACATCAATATGAAATTGACAAAAGAGATTAATGCTCTTTTAGGTAACATAATGGAATCAACCCAACTCCTAGTCCTCGCACAACTTCTCATGTGTGACAGTCTTCAACATGTTCTGAGCTGTCTGGCTGAGAATGAGATCCATGACAGTGCTGAAACTGAAAGTGTCCTTAATCCACCAGCCCCTGGATCCGAAATTCCAGAGGAATGGCATGATTCCTTAGACATGGACATCCTCAATAACTTTGAAGAGGGGGAATATGTTGGCTACAACACTAATAACAAGTACATTTATGCAATTGTTGTTGAAGAACTGCCTGGGCACGCTGGACCCTATTCACAAAGATACAAAATAGAAATTGGAGAAGATGAGCCAATTGAAGTCAGTTGTCTTGACCTGTATCAGTTTAAACGACAAAAGAAGCCAGAACCTGGAGGGAGGACTTGCACATCCGCTGAAGCTTCTTGCATGGAGCTGGTGCCACTAGCGGGAGCTGTGCCCCATTCTTCCAAACCATCAGCTACAAGTTCATCTACAAGATCCTCACCAGCAAGATCCTCACCAGCATCAGTTGATGAAGCCAAAAGAGAAATTGACAAATGTTTGGCAGATATCTGGATGCTTCCTGAGGAGGAGAGGCATAAAGCCATCAAACGACTGTACCTTAGATGGCATCCCGACAAAAACCCTGACTGCCAACTTCTTGCCACTGAGGCATTCAAATACTTACAGAATCAAATTGATGAGCTCAGCAGAGGCAAAGGCAAAGGCAAAACTGCAGGCTCGTCCTATTCAGGCAGGAACTCAAATTTCAACAACTTCTATCAGCAATGGAATCAGGAGGCCAGGCATCACAGAGATGGCCGAGAGAGATTCTCTCGAGACAACCATTCCTACAACTTTTGGACCCATAATGAAAATGTCCCAAGTCCAAACAAAAAGGAGGCCATGCGCTGGTGTCGTCAAGCTCACTGTGATCTCAACGCAGCTTACAAAGACATTGGTGGGGAGAGCACAGAGTGGTGTCTGTTCAAAATCCATCAAGCAGTGGAAAAGTCTCTCATAGCTGCACAGTTTAAAAGAGATGGTCAACATCCCACAAGCAGCTCCATTTCAGCCCTCGCTAAGAAGGTTTCGCTCTACAACCTCCAACTGAGAGTTCTGCCTCAAATTGTCGAGAATCTGAAGACTCTGGGAGTGGATGCCAAAAAGACTCAGTATCCAAACTATCATCCATTTCCCCACATTCCAAATGAACAGTTCAAATCAGAGAATGGAATGGCAGCACTGAACAAGGCATCTGAGCTTCTCAGTAAAGTAGAGGCTTATGTGAATTAGGGATTAGAGACAAACGCACATGTCATGTTGGCAGAGTCAATTGAAGATTTTTTGACATGTCAAGATGCTGCTAGCCATATTGTGATATTGAAACATTACTATAAACAAAATAATGGTATCACTGACATGCTTATGTTTTGAAACTTCTGAAATGAAAGATGTTTTTTTTTTAGTCTTTACTGAAGACCAGTTTATATATAACTACGTGAATTTGTTCTGAAAATGAAAATATGATTTTTGATTATTTTTGCAATGTTATCATTTAGAACTACTCAGAGGACCAATATACTCGCTGTATGACTTTGTTATGAAGATATAAAAGTTTTTTTGAAACGTTATTTGTAATCCAATATAATAAATGTACATTATTGTTATGAGAATGGAAATATGGCAGGTTATTTTTTTGCAAAGTTATGATTTTTACTACTCATGATCAATGTAGTCACTGTATGACTTTGTCATGAAAATCTGAAAGTTTTTATAACTACCAACTTAGGATCAACATATTCACTGTATGACTTTCTGAATATGCAAATTTTTTTTTTTCTCAAAACGATGATTTAAACGTGTATAACTATTCACTGAGGACCAATATAATCTCTGTATGACTTTTTTCCTTATTGGTTTCAAAACATCAAAACACCCGAAGGACTGCAGTTTAAAATTGACCAGCTGGCTCACACTGGCACATACAGAAATGATTGTGAGTTGTCTTTATGAATGAATAAATAAATAAAATGGAATATTATGGTTTGTTATCATTTATAAGTACTCACCCTATCATCATACTTATCAGGTAAACATCAGTTCCTGTTTTTTACATTATTAAATACCATAGTAAACTATTGCCAGGGATGGACACTGTATCACTACAACTAGTGAGTTTACTTCCTCGTCCTTTTCTATAACCACTCTCTGAAAAAGTATAATCCATTGCTTGTTTTTTTCTTCTTCTTTTTTTAAGTGGGTAGCTGAGGGTTTACAATATTAAGTACTGCCAATAGTAAAATATGCTATTAAATCTGTAGGCTACAGTGACAGAATATATCAAAGTAATATAGAATCTGTAAAAGTTGCTTCGCTGCTGCACCACAAGTCCTAAAAACTCTGTATGAGGTTGTGATAATATTTTCATATTGAGCTGTACAGCACCCACGGTAAACCTGTGCAGAAGATTTAAATTATTTTGGCTGATTAGATCTCAGAACTGTGTGGGAGTTTAACGTCTCATTATCCCCACAAAGCGGGGGTGGGTGTGCAAGTTTTAAAAAACGAACTTTGAATAAATTCTTACTCGACAAGACACCGCAATGTTCAGTGAAGACAAACATTTCAAGTTAAAAGCACTTTTTTATTCATTGAGAAATCATGTTAGGAAAATAATGACAACTAACCATATATCAGACAAATGTATCTTTTCATATGTTAACAACAAAAGTTTGCTCTGGAGGATGTGCCGACTCAGCAGTCACCACCACATTACTGTCTTCTCCTTGTGCTCGGAGTGTGCTCCGCCTCATCACGGAAGTGGCAAGTTCCCACTGTTCTTTCCTACTATAAAAATGTTTACAAGGCTTTTCATGTCTCTTCCCAATGTCCACACATAAGAATAAGTTTAAAATATGTTTTGTCTGTGAGGGAGAAGTTCACATACATACCAGATTCAGTCTTTGTGTTATGCTTCCTGTCGTCTCCTCCATCTATTAATAATTTACATAAAACCTGTACATACTTACAGCGGGCCGGAGCCTGTTTCTGAAGGGATGTGCACGTAGAAAAAGAAGCAACATACAGTGAAGTGAATCTTTGCAAAGTCAATGGGATCAGGTGGGAGGTCAAGGTGTTACTAGCATATTAGACACTTGCCATCATATGGTACATGCAACTCACATTTTTCATTCTGCGTCAAACCTATACCAACTGCAATTTATTGCAGACCTTCGCTATTCAACACAACAAACAATAGGGACAGACATTATTAAACATATTTATGGAGTAAGTGTGTTTGTGGTGGCTGATGTTATGATCAAGTATATTCATCTTAGCCAAAAAGATGAAAGACTTTGGGTGCAATAAGAGCAGGATTCACCATACCTAACCTCCCTCTGCATTTGCCCTTCCTATCCAACAGCTGATAAACTTCACAAAATTGAGTCAAACAGGAGCTGGAATAGGATCAGGCGTCTGGAAAAACACTTAAGGCTTAATTTATATCATTTGGCACGTTGCTAATAGTAAGCAACGATTATATTCCTCCATCTCATGACTTCGAACGATCGGCACTTATTGTCTGCAGTCATTCAAAATTCATCTTTCACATCACTCATATTGCATTTTGTTCAGATAAAACAATAACTATGTTACAGATTTCAGATTTAGAAAGGAAAAGATTAAGTCAAACCACAAAATTATTTCTACACGTTCTGTTACGGACACCACAAACTAAAGTACTACTGCCGGGATGAGTAACAAATAACACCAACTGCCCCTCCAACACCGCAGCTGTGTGACTCTTTGTTGATGCAATAACATGAACTGAACTGAGCCTGAACACAAATATCAGGGTTCACTTCAGGGTGCAGCCGTAATCTGAAGAGCTGACATTATATACGTGGGATAGACTTTTTCTGTGGAAAACATACGACCTGCAATGGCACAGGAGGCTATGTGAACATGAAACATGTTAAGAGCTAGTTTGAACCAGGGTTAGGGTACTGGTGTCAGTCCTGTCTGTATGGCACAAGTGTATAGCAGACACAACGAACATTCATAATATTGGAGAACAGTGTAGTATCATACCGTCGCCACCTGCTGTACTGCTATTGAGTGTCCCGGGTTTAAGGGGTCAGACGCTCTATCATACATACAAAACTCTCTTCAACAATTGTTGAGGCTAGAAATCACAGGGAGAAAAAAAAAAGGTTTGTGTCGCTCCTATTTCTCCTGGAATTTCTTTCCATTTTGCTGTGAAGTTTTGCATCCATGTTTCTTTCATATTCCCCCTCTGTGGGAGAGAAAGAAGAGCTGGCTTTCTTTCAGCAGAAGCCATACGGACCCCGGGCCTGCTACAATTATGTGCCCCGCGTTTACTGCCCTGCTTTTTCTTCTTGTGTGATGAGTCACGTGGAGGGGTAACCCTCCTGCAGCAGGGCCCTCACATGTTGTAAGCCACATATATGGGGTCCAGCTGGTCGGCCAGGAAGCCGTCTCTGAGGTGCATGCGTTGCTTCTCCCCTCTGGAGTTGATGGGGATGACGCCGGGGTCGACCACCACCACCACTCCTACGATGAGGTAGTGCTCCTCCAGGACAACGTTGGTGACCAGGGCCACCAGGTCCAGGGCCTCCTGCTCCGATCCCTCAAGCTCCACAACCACCACGAGGAGGTTGGTCCACGTGAACACCGCACTGGAAGGAGGGAGTAGGAGGTGGAGGGTGCACGTAGGGAAGGAAAAAAGGAAAAAGAAAAGATGACATGAGGAGAAAATGAGATGAGCATAAGGGAAAGACAGAAGAAGAGGAAAAGGGAAGATGAGAGAAGTTAGTAGTCAGAATTCATGTTGCTATATTTTGAATATAAAATGAATACACATCTGACAACATAATAAATCATTTAAACTAAACAGTAATAAAAGTATTGATGTAAATTTCTCACCATTCAGCTATGCTCTTGTGAGAACGGATAACGGAGGTCTCGATGTCAATTGGGTGATACCTCATTCCCCTCAGCTCCAGAGTCTCATCAAGAGAGCCCACCACATAGAGGGCGTCATGGCGCTCTGAGACACACACACACACACACACACACAATCTCAGATATATCAATTTATGTCTTATAAGTTAAATATATCAAGTTTTGAGGTGATGTTTGAGAGAAAAACAGAAGGTAGAAAATATCTTTATTTTTCTGGAGTGCCAAAAATCAAAGTAAGAGTCCAGCTCACATCAAAAGTAGTGTACTGAGTTGGAGCGACTCCACTCACCTCCACTGGCATCTGTGAGATCAGTGCGCCGCAGGAAGCCCAGGTAGCCCGTCCTCGCCCAGACAGTCTGCGTGTCGCCAAAGCTGAGCTTGGTGTTGAAGTGGTCAGCGTGCAGCGCCTCCTCACCATAGACTGTGTAGTAGCCCGTGGCATTGTGAGGACTGCTCACCCAGATCTATCACACACAGACAATAATAACATCACAATCAAAGTAATGGATCTAGTGTGCCATTATCCAACCTTTATATAAAAAGAGAATAATGTATTCACTGGTCTTCATCGGCAATAAAGTTACAAATAAAAATGTTTGTGTTGTTTCTTCTCTGCTTTGAAAACTTGACTTGTCTTGCACCTGCATACATGTAAACTTCTGATTGGAGACTTTTTTATGTGTATACGTGCAGATGAACCGGCTCTCTACCAGAGAAAGACGATAAGACGTTTTAGAGATTAGTTTACAGCGGAAAGCCCACTGTAATCTGATAACAAGTGCACGTAAATTGTGGGTCACAACCAGGTGGAACAGGTGACGGTGAAACAAGTCGGCTCTGTAAAACGCAGATGACGTTGTGACTTACCTCTCCTAGATGGGAGTCTCCCAAGGGTCCTTTAGTCTCTGTGTTGGCAATGATCACCTTCACTCCTGGGAGGATCTACAACAGCAGACAACCATAATATCTCAAAGCTTTAGCAAAAAGCAACCCTTAAGCAGCACAAGGTCACAGTTTGTTTACATGATGACGTACCTTCCCAGACTCCATCAGTGGTAAGCTGTGTGGCGACCCTCTCTCTACCAAGCGAACCCTAAAGAAATAAAAGGACAAAATTAGCAACTTCATAGCTCCATTTTTATTCCATTTCTTGACAATTACGACAAAAAAAAACAGTCAAAACAGTTCAATTCAAGATTTGACGAATGTATTCATATGCTATGAAATGATGTACCAGCATTATAATTACACAATGTATAAGTCTGTCTCAACAGTCTGTCAGGTGATAGAAACCATCCTGACATCTCAAAGACAACTCTTTATTGTCCGTGGTGAGTCCACACAGCTGCAGCAGCGCCCCTTACCTGTCGTGTCGTAGAGCTCTCATGTCAACATAAACGGTAGTGGGGTCTGGTCCGGCCGTGCCCTGGAGGAAAACAAGCAGAGAGCAACATGAGTTGACTCTTACAACCCTGACAGGAATGCTGTATGTTGAGTGGAGGGGAGGTGGAAGCTACTTATGATACAACTGTATCATACAAAGCAGAGGGGGGGGGCAGCCACAAGCCAACCAGCCGGGCTACGATAGTTAAGACTTCCCGAAACTCAACCATGTAGTCACAGACATTGTAAGTATAGAAATTATAAATGATCTGCAGTTCATTTCCTTCACATGTTTATCTTCTGTGACAAAAAGAACGCACCCCAATGTATGAGCATTTCTATCTGAGCACCATTTGTTTTGATTAAACGTCAATAGCTTCGCCATGCAGCTGAATTCTGATTGAGCCATTTCTGAATTACGGATTGTGGTCGTCAGATATTGATTCCTTCTGCTTTGGGATTTGGCATCATCACTGCCCTAAGACTAGTCACAAGACATTATGGTTTCCATCCCTCGTTTTCCAGTGCGTAGCCAGAGCACAAGCTAGCATGGAGTCGCTGTATGGTCATCTGTGAGGTCAAAGCCAAACACAGAGCAGCCGGATTCAGTTTGTTTTAGCAACAGAGCGTTTTTGGAAAACATCAACGAGACTCAGTCCAGACATTAGTCTTTGACAAACAAATAAAATGAATTTCTCTCACTAAATGACTACTAGTGTGAAAGAAAAGGCAACATAAAAACACTATATATATTATATACATAACTAAATAATCAATGAATTAATCTACCAACTACAACTCATGCAAAAAAACAAAATGTGGTAAATTGTTGTAAATTAAAGAAAAATGAACTAAAACCGTCCTTTCGCTGGTTAAAAAAACAAAAACACGTTGAATAAAAATTATATTGTTTGACATGACATTCCTAAATTAACAATCAGAGCAGAGTTCATGCTGCTAGCTCAGAGCATGATGTAGTAGCACGTCACATATAACCTGTCATAAAGCAGTGGTTGAGAGCCAGCCGGTAGTCAAGACGCTGGCTAAAATTAGTAGCGGTAAAAAAAGTAGTAAAGCTCAAGCTTGTCAGAGATAAACAAAAAAACAAAAAAAAAAGAGAAAATCTGTGAATGAAGGTTAAGTGTGTTCAAAACAAAAAAACATGCAAGATTAACAAACACTCACATATACAAACACACAAACATACACACACACACACACACACACACAGACCCAGCAGCAGCCAAATGAATAAACAGCAACTCTTATCCTACGGTTACCTGCTCAGCCAGTTTCCCTAACCTGTTGGGCTGACGGGACAATGCAGGACAGATAAATAAAGATACTTATTTATATACTTGGATCCACATGCACACACACACACACACACACACACACACACACACACACACACACACACACACACACACACACACACACACACACACAAACAGAATCTCCAGGGATAGGAATAAACAAATAAAACATAACATCAAAGGGCCACAAGATTTTTGTCATCGTTCAAAAATCTTATATCTATGAAAAATAAAGCTTAATACATTTCCCTCCACCTCAAATTAGTTGGTAAAAAAAAGAAAAAAAGTAATTTTTTAGTAAGCCACTTGCATTACATTAACACCAATATCCACTCAGCTGCCAATCCTGTGTTTTTCAAGGATTTCTTGGATGTTTATCAGAATCGTTTTGGAATCACAGTCAGTTTTCCCCCTAAAACATCGACCGCATGGACTCTGGAGCTCTCCAATCCATCTCCTCCTCCTCCTCCTCCTCCTCCTCCTCCTCCTCCTCTTCATGCTTCACCAGCAGCTTACCTGCAAACAGATAGCCACATTCACCCTGCAGCCGAAGGTGGTGCTGACGGCGCGCGGTGAAAGCCCCAAGTCCTTGAAGATCTTTGAGAAGGTCTGAGTGAGAGCGATGCGGGGCCTCTCCTCTGCTACCACCATGCACGTACGCACGCAAGACAGGTTCACATTCCGCAACTGGAGATGGGAAAATAAGAAGAAGTTCGATCAGCAGAAACTAAAAAAGTGTGAAAACACTGCGATTATATTAATGATGTCACATTTTTTCTCAATTTGTAAAAGCGACTGTGGGTGCATGTAAACTAGGAGCTGACGACAGAAATTAAATGGATATATTCATATAATATAACTTTTTTATTAGATTTGATTCTACTCATTAAACCAGGGACATGATTCATTAAAGAAAATCCCGGTCTCAAGAGCTGCAGACAGTAATCAGCACAGTGATACAGGGGAGTGTTTCAGCCCTCAGGACACCGACTATGTGTTGATAGTCACAGCGCTGTAACAAGAGCACCTCAGGGAAATGGAAGAAAGTAATTGAAGAGAAACCCTTATATTTTCTAAGAGAAAATGCTGCAGTTTGTTGCTCCCCCAGTGACACCACTCAACACCTGAAGAGACAAACTGACCCGCAGTGCTTCCGTCTGTGAACCCAGGCCCTTGGTGCACATCTCCATGACTGAATACGAGCAGAAGGTGACGCGAACTTTGTACTGGCTGACCGCCGCAAGCCACAAAGACGCGTTGCTCTCCAGCTCCAGAGGGGGAACCAGGATTGACTGGTGGCCCGAGTACACACTGAAACCAGAAACATAGAGGCTGAGTGGGACGAGAGAGACGGGGGGGGGGAAGGCTCCACTTGAGAATAACTTAATGTTTCTTCTACCAGCACAGGTCAGGTCATTCATTTGTTCAGAGATGCTGGTTTACCTGCACAGGCACCAGAGAGCGAAGCCCAGGCCGCAGTAAGGGTCCAGACAGATGGCGATCTGCCGGGAAGGGTAGAGCTCACACTGCAGTTTGATGGAGCGACACAAGGCACTGGTGGCAGTGTGAGACATCTAGAGGAGGTGATGTAACACACAGAGACAACACTGAAAATCAAAACTGGTCCCTTAAAATTACACTTAAAAACCACTCCTTCAGCTTTTGGGGATCCATTATATTACTGATGGACACCTCAACAGTGTGTGAATAGTTGCTCGATGCTCAGAACTTTCTGCATCCAAAGTTTCCCTGTTGCAAAGTAAAACAAACCACTTTTTGAATAAACTACAGATGGAAAATTTGGACTTAGATGTGCTGAGTTTTACCCAATTTACAGCTTTTATTTTGTTATGCGTTAGCTTGTAATGACAGCAACCATGTTGTTGCTATATTGACGATCTCTACCTGAAAGACTGGTAGCATTCCAACATGACCGCTACATCCAATTAAGAACCCAAGTGGCTCATGCGAGTCCTTCCACATTCAACTTACTTTGACCCCTGCTAAAATGCCTGTTGTGGACACACTGAAGTCCAGGTAAGCTAACATCTCCGGGGTCGGGGGCTTGTACATCTGGGGACTCTTCTTCCTGGGGAGGTCGTCTGGATGATGAACAGAGGGAGAGGAGGAAGAGCTTGAAGCAGGCATGGAAATCCCAGAGCATGTCCTTTCTTTACTTAAAAATCTAGTCTTTGGTGGCAACATGAGAACATAAACTGTGCTTGCTATGTGTGTACAACCCACCTGTGTCCAGCACCATGGGCCAGCTCTTGACGTCCACAGCAGCAGCAGCCTCCTTGGATTTAAGCAGCTTCATTATTGTTTGAGTGGTCAGGATACACACCGACTTACTGACCTTTAACACACAGACACTGCAGTATTAGTACATATATATATTACGTCAATTCAATTCACACAATTTGCATCTCTAACGGAGCGGAGCTGACTTTGTCTACAATTCAAACTATACCGTCACCGGGTTTAATGATTGTTATAACTGTGCAGAGAGGGGTTACATTTGCATTATGATGCAGGACAGCTGACTCTCTGTTACCTCAACAATCATCTTGACGGTGGGCAGCGTGGTCGCCAGGTTCTGGGGGTGGGGGGGTCGGACAGTGACTGGCACACAGCCAGCGTACAGGCAGCCGTAGAAAGTGGCAATCAGGTCGATCCCTACACATAAATGTTTATACTTTCAGTCATTAGCATTTAACACATTGTAACTGATGAAATGACAGTATAAAAAGCTCTACAATAATATTAAGAACTCTACTGAGTCTCTTCAGGTGTGTGATTATGATTAACAGACACAGCTGTGACATTAAAGAACAGAACTGACTCTTACCTGGTGGGTAGACGAGTGCTACATGGTCTCCAGTGTTGAGGCGTCCGATCAGTGCTGCAGCCACGCGCTCTGCCCGCTTGTGCAGCTGCAGACAGGAAGCTGTACTAGCCACCGTGCCCTGAGGAGCAAAAGGTAAGAACATACATTAATTCACACTGCTATGCTAACCTTTACTTAACAGACATAAAAGGTGAAAGTACAAGAACATGGCTAGTCTTCATTATCCTCACAAAATTAACATACAATGATGAAAAGGCAGTACCTTAGCATTGAGAACAAGGAACAGAGGATGGTCTGGAGTGGCCTGAGCTCTCCATTGCAGCACATCCTGTATGTATAGGAACTAGAGGGGAGAGAGACATGCACGTTTAACCACAGAGAATAACACACAGCAAAGACCAACACAAACTGAGACAATAATCAATCACCACACAAACAATGTAGAATCAATAGAGCAGGGTGGCACAAGGTGGGTTTTTGTAATGAAGGGATGACTGATGTGTGAGAAGCTTAAAAGAGTAACGGATGCATTACGTGATGGAAGTGGAATCTAAACTACACAACACCTGCGTTCATATAGATAGCTTAGTCAGCAGGTAGGCAAGACCATGTCCTCTCCATCAGCTGTACCTCCAGTATGGACCCTTACCTGTGTCTGCAGTGTAAGTGAGGAGGGGATGAGCGGGTGAAATGAGGATGACTCTCTACCTTACGTGCCTGGTCATTGTCCTCGAGTTGGGCCACGTCTCTCCCACAGGCCTGTGCTATCCTCTTGCCTGCCACCAGGTTGCCCACTATCATAGAAGCAGGACCGACCTCTGTCAAACACAACCACATCCAGTGAAGTTAAACACCGCAATAAAAGAAATGAAGAAATTACTTGAACGATTTTTTATGAGACATTTGTTTCTCGAAACTCGATCCGTGCTGGGACATCTGGTGGTCTACCTGGCTGTTTTTGTCTGGGCTTGGGCAGGTTGGTGACGCATGTGTGAGGGCACATGAGGACGTTGCAGGGGTGCAGGGCACCCTCCAGGAAGCGCTGTTTGGTCTCAGATATATGGATGCCGCCCAGAGGAGCCTTAGGAAGCGTGTTGGCAGGCACCAGAGCCAGGCAGTACACCCCGACCTGGTGGATGCTGTCTATGGCCTGGAAACAGACAGATAATACATGCAAAAACAGAGGAGAGCTGTAGATTAGCAAAGTTGTCAAATCAAGCAGAGGAAGTTTGAATTTTCACGGCCCGGTTTTAGTTTGTAGATCATGATGTGTAGGTTTTTTCAAGTTAGTTTTTAACTAAACAAACCTGATTCGCATTTACTACAATAAAAACTGCAAACCTGCAGATACCGTCCAATTATCTGTGACCAATTGATAAGATGTGAAAAGGGACAGTGAGCACCTGAAGGACGCGGCTCATCCACTGGAAGCTGTCTTCCTCAGAGGCGTCCGGCCTCTGCTCTGCCACAACAATGATCCTCTCGTCATGCAGCACAGACACAGAAAACACTGCTATCCTGCAACAGACAACATTAAAAACTACTGTCAAAGCTGGATCGTACTCGTGCAATCAAACTGCACAGTCGCTGCTGTCCTGCAAGCAAGAGTTAGAAAACAGTGCAGATTAGACAGACTCTCTGTATGAGTAATATGTAGAGAAGTGTGAAGTTTGCTTCCACTTTTACCTCCCCCTGTAAACAAACTTCATGGGCTCCACTGCCAGTGCTGTGGCAACCACATCATCGGCATTGTGTCTCCTCCCACTGACCACCATCAGCCCATCCATCTTCCCCACAACAAACACAAGGCTGTCCTGGTGGGAAACACAAAGCACAGAACATTAGATGGGTAGATCTTGACATTTACCTCAATCTAAAGTACAGTGTGCATCTATACAACTAGCACGTGAGGTAACAGTACCTTTAAAAATTGAAGACCTCAAAAGGTTCCTCAAAATAACTCTTTCACTTTATATTTTATATTTTGTGGTTAGAGAAAAAGAAAATAATTAACCAAAGAACAAAAGAAAGCTAAAAGGCACAGTGATAGAGCAGGGGGGGTGCTCATGGACACACTACCGCTAATGTCCACAGGATCCGCAAAAACCGACACAAAATGAAAGTTCCTTGTAGTTGCTTGTGCTGCCAAAGCTACAACATACCACAACTCATATGTTAAACAGGGTTATCTTAATGCTATAAGACAGACATCAATTTAAGTTTAAAAAACTGCATAATAATGAGGTGGAACTTACCGGCCCCACAAAGCCAAGCAGTGAGGTCCTAGTAAATGGTCTGTCGCTGATGGGGATCCCAGATGATGTTACTGGGATGGTCTGCAAATAGACATAGCACTGTTAAAATGTGTGAACGAAGTGCAAAATAATTCTATAGGTGGAAGTACACAAATGCATTTGCACTCTGCATGTATTTGAAATTCCATAAATAAGACACTGACCTCAAAGATGTTCTTGGTCATGCCCGGGAGGCCGTAGTAAGCTATGCCCGTGCTACCTGAGCTCACGCAGATCTCTCCAACCTCGTCTGTCTGACAGAGATAGGGTGTCCCCTCCACCCGCACCACACAAACCAGAGCTGGAGACACACAGTGATGTCAGGAGGGTGGGACATCAGGAACAACAACATTTACATTTAAAGTAGATGTCTAAATTGGTAAGAGAGTTTAAAGCATTATTAATAAATAGTTCAAAGTCAACATCTAGCAAGGTAAAGGTAAGAACCGTTCAGTTAAGTTTTTCTTTTCAGTAATATCCTATAAAATCTGATCTGGTAACCTCCATTTCCTGGAGACACACGGTTGTGTTAATATCAAAATTCCATCTTTAATCTTAATCTCCAGCATTAAACTCATTTACAGCAGCAAAGTGTTAATGAGCAGCGCAGTGTACTTACCTCCAGGCATGACCTGTCCCACATCCTGCACTGTAAGGACAGAGAGTTTCTCCTCCGTGTCCACACGGATCACACTGTGGCTCAGCCCACCCATAGACAGCACCGCCTTCCCTGGAGGAGGAACACCCATTTCTGGGGGTCTGCAAGACATCGAGATTATTTAAATTACACTCGTTATTAGTGAACATGGAAAGACGTGCAGTTAAAGACATTTGTCACTTATTTCTCTTCAGTTCCTCTACCTTTCTGGCAAACGAAACATATGGTGCCAGTTCTATCTTAGTTCATCAAGTACAGCTTTTGTTAAACTGAGCCATCCATTGCCTTAGTAATATGAAAACCATGTGACTCTGTGAGATACAATCTCTGGATCCATTAGAACATTTCCAGACTCATATATTTCTCAAAAAAGGCCTTTCTCATTCAAAAAATGCTTATTTAAAGCGTATTGTTTTAGTCTGCCTGTCACCCTAATCCTTCTCCATGGCTAAGCTCTGTGATCAGCAAAAAGCTGAGACATCCTACACTTCGTCTCCGTGTTAAAAAGAGCACAAATCTCCCTCCTCTCCTCTACATCCAGCAAATGTAACGCAGTGGGATATAATAGGAAAAGGAAAAGCGGTGGCAGGTTGCTGTTGTTCTTGTATGGTGCAATAACGGCAGCTCACCTGCGGATGGCGACAGTCATGGCTTCTGAAGAGCTGGCACATGGACAGATCACCTCAGGTCGCAGCCCACGTGCCTGAAACACGTTGAGGAAGGCGTCGCAGGAGGATATCGACCCTGTGATAACACATACATACAAACATACAGAGACAGTCAACCATATACAAGCAAACACAAACGCAACAAATCAATGATAATCTCTTGTGGCTTCAGGGTTTATTGAATGAGAATCTGCAGGTGGACTCACATGGGTTAGCTCCGTCGGCTACGATGAGCATGCGCAGGGAGCTCAGGCTGATGTCCCTTTGGTCTTTCTGGGCCAGCAGAGACCAGTGCATGTCCCTCGACTTCACCACTGCAACCCTCGCTGTGCAAGAGAGACACAAAGACAAAGAGACAGGCTCACAATATCATCACCAAATCAACATCCCTGTCATTCAGCCTGACGGCCAATCGCAGATCACAAAATCTGACAGCAAATAGAAGCACAGTCTGACTCAGTTGCCAACAGGTGACTCAGCAAAGCTCGGTCTATGGCTCGGACCAGAGAGGAGATGAATTTGAGTCAGCCTGTTGGCACCCTCCACTGGGGTAGTACAACAGAGTCGAACAAACTATTGCTTCAATCCATCCTCCCCTGTCAAACGTGCAGTGAGAATTAAAACAGACTCTCTCTAAAAGTCAAACGGGCTCTTATTTAGGATTACAGATTAATTCCCTCTTCATTGGGCTGAGAGGCAACGAGAAGAGTAACGGTGAAAAGCGACAAGATGCCAAGCTGGATTGATCCTCACCTTTGTACGTGTGAACCTTCTGTATCCAGGAGAGGGGGTTGACTTTCATCAGGGAGTAAGGAATGCTGATCACATGCATCCGATTCATGACACTCTGCCAAGAGAACAGACGAGCAACGCTCAAGCACCAAAATATGTCTGAAATGTATCATAACTACATGATGTCACTGTAAACCTGCTGCGAGTCATGACAAGATCTTATCACTTAGTGCTAAGTGTATAAAGAAAACGTGGTTTGCGCTACTGTTTCATTTTCAGGAGTTTGAACGTGTAACTGCAGGTGATATATGTGAGCTGTATGTCAATTCCACCGCATGTTTGGAACCAGAGCTGGTTTGAGGATGTGTTAGAAGAAACAGAATACTTTTACAGGTTTCAAACTCTTGAGTTATGTTTCAGGATTATATTATAATTAATTATTACATAACCCTCCGATTAGCTTAACCAGATGGTTCAACACCACTCACAGTAAGAACGCCGTGCCATAATCCTGCTTCTTTCTTGAAGTCCAGGACGTTGGTTATCGTCTCAGCTGCAATTAAAAAAAGAGATTGTGCCAAGATTACGGTTTGAGACATTTAATCTGACATTCATATTCTGTACGAAAGCAATCGCACAACATCCAGTTACTTTTAATACAAAACAAGCTCCGTAATGATGAATACATCCTGATTGCGGCAGTATTGTATTCAGTGAAGCACCAAACTAAGTTTCAGAAACAGACCTGGAGAGTCTCTGGGGGCTGCCAGTGCGGTCAGGAGTTATTTACGGCAAAACTGGGACACTGGAGGAGAGGAGGTGCCTTACGTTCTCAGAAAGAAACAACCAGCTGAGCGGCTGCATTTATCAAACTAGACTGTAATTATACTCTGATGAGATGTGTGAGCAACGTGAAGAAAAACATCTATAATATCATAGATTAAAAAGTAGGTTTATGCTCTGCATTGCTTAATCTGCAGTATTAGACAAATGTATATATACCTGTACTCCTTTTTGAATATTCTTTCATTTTTATCATTACTAAATCTGGTTAAGTGGTCTGTTTCTTCCTCTCTCTCTCGCATATGCTATCACTATCAACTGGATGCCTTTGCTCCATGTCAGGAGAATGAATAGATGATGGAGAAGACAAGGAGCCAAATGAAGTATGGGTAAATGCAGTCTGTCCTCCTTACCTTCAGTGTAGCCGCAGGCCTGTGTGAGGGCGTGAGAGTGGGCCAGCATGGCTGAATGAGACACTGTGATCCCCATGGTGCTTCCTTCCTTGCTGGTTTTATACTGGACGAAGGAAACAAGGAAAAACATTTGACATGGATTATTTGAAAAAGAAAAGCTAAAGATTTGTAGCCCAAAAAATATTTTTAAAAAATACATCAAATGTGAATTAAAATACAACAAATCTATATTTTCTTCACTGGTTACATCAATGAAACCACACTTACCTCTATGTAAGCTATGTCATTACTGGCTTCCCGTATCGGAGGATGCCAGTCTTTCGGAGGCTTCACAACATGTTTTCCATCTGTCACAAACCACAGCAACCGTGGCCAGCCTGCAGAGACGGAGGCATGAAGTCAGTTCAAACCAAATGTAACTATGCAGACAGACAGTCAAAAGGAGAGCGTACCTTTGAAAGTGGCTACCTCCCCCGTTTGTGCTTTGGGCAAGCCTTTCTGACAGGCGTCGGTGGTTAATGCCAACGTGACGCCGCAGCTGCCCAACAGAAAGCCAATCTGTTGACTCCCTGCATCCTGGGGGACCAAAGAGGATGAAAGTTCATCGTGGCAAAAACTTTGGAAATCAGTGTCTGTCACACAACACTCATCAAGAGAGACAAAATTCAGAACAGGAAGGCTTTGAGGAGAGATGCTCTGAGGGAATGTGGGAATTGTGTCCTGGAGAGAAAGAAGGACGATGAGTGAAGAAGAAACTTCAGAGCACTGCACATCAGAGAAGCAGCAGGTAAGAACGCAGATTGATGGCTAATCACCATTAAAAACTCTACTGCGGAGCATCAAAGCTCATTCATAGCAGGAATTACAGACAGATTCACGCTGAACGAACCACACTGAGGACAAAAGCGGGAACAAAATGTGAGATACTGGGTGGCATCAAAAAAGAATCAGGAGGAAAAAGGGGAGAGAAAAAGAAGCAAAAAGATTGAAAGAGAGAGAAAGCAAAAATGAGTCCCAAGAACAGTTGGCCTGTGATCTAATATTTTGACTGGAACTGCAAACAAGAACAGGCATAAATATTCAGACTGTCTGACTAATGTGGGTGGATTTGGTTCAGTTTGAGCTGATGATGTGGTGGAAACTGGGATGCATCACAACAAAATTAGAACATTCAAAAGAAAACGCTGCTGCTGGGTTTGTTATCATGCAAGATGTTCTGGGAGATTGGAATAAATCGTAGATATCTACATTGAAGCAACTGTGCACAACTTTAAAACACTCTTATTAGGGGTCAATTGTCCAGCAGGGGTCACTAGTGCTCCTCAGTGTTTATGTAGACCAGCTCACACTAAACACGTCCACACATTCCCAGGAGATTGTATTTGCCTTTACCTTTCTGGTCAGCGGCACTTCGATGGGCACAGGTACCAGCTCTGCCAAGAGACAGCCGTAGAAGGCCACCATGAACATCACTGGGTCGTTGTTGGGGAAAACAAGTGCAACCTACAGGTGTAACGCAGACACAATATGTTACAGTAGGATGCTATGCAGTTCCTGTTTTGAGTTTAAGTATAGGAGGCAAGGGGCATGGTGTGTAGAATGTGTCATGGAAGCAAACATTTGCTTCCTTTCACAAGTAATGAGATTGTGATGTTATAAAGAAATCGCATAAGACCTTGATGGTTGAAAACTGAGCACTGAGATGCAGCCTTTTGTAAAATCAGAAATATCAAGCTTTCAAGTAGGCTGACTTGATAATAATGTCTTCTAGCCATCAACATTTCCCCATTTCATTTTCAACACTACTTCATGTTCAGGGAAATACAAACTAGCACTTGCTGAATATTGTTTTAGGAGCCTCAGCCAAATACCTAAAATGCAACGAGAAATGTATCATAGAAGTGACCACCACTGAACACAGTTTCGTCTCATGACTTACCCTGTCGCCGGGCACGAGCAGAGGCTCATTTCTGGTACTCAGCTTGTTAAGAAGCGTGTAGGCCAGTTTCTGACTGCGAGTCCATAGTTTACCTGCAGAGGTGAACGTCCAGTGTCAAATATTTAATTTGATTTAACAACCTCAGACCCCCAAATCCACATAAAAACACACACAATAGCTGATAACAGCAGCAAATTACAAAATAGCGTATGTAGAGACAGAGGCAGGCACTTCTTTGTCCATTATTTGTACAGAGAAAACCCAGATAGAATGCATGACAAGAGGTGATATTGCTTTCCATCTCCTGTGTAAATTCTGAGCCACTCATTCACAGGTGGATACCTACCATAGGTGAGTGTGTAGACTGGCTTGCCAGCATTGTCGAGTCCCGTTAGACAGGGGCTCTTGGGCTGAGTAGTGCCCCACCGTTGTAAGGCTGCTGGCAAGGAGGGAGGCCAGTTGTTGACCACCCCGAGAGGCTCTCCTTCCAGGGCACTCATGTGCTGGCCTTCTGGCTTTGGCTGGTTGGGGTCTGGCTGCTGAACTAAATGGGGAGGAGAATGGGGACACCAGAGTGAGGGGTGGTTCAAAGTTTTGGGTTGAGTGATTTACAAATAAATTGTACATTTCTCAATAATACAACTCTGTTAAAGGAGTGTGAGGACTGAAAGACAGCGAAAGCTGGAGGATTAAATGTGAGCTGGTTTCTGTCCTTATCAGTCTTAACTGCCTCAGATACCAATTCCTTAGAAACTTAGAGAAACCTGCGCCTTTCAATAAGCTGTAGCTCCCTTTATCCTTCACCTTCCCTCCCTCCGAGCACCATGCTTGCTCTTTGATTTGACTTCCATCTCTCCATCACTATTCTCCCCTCAAACTCTCCTAAACTCCGGTAAGAGGAATTCAGGAATGCTTAACTGAGGTGGCAAGATGTCCCCCGCCAAATAAAACACCTCTATCATTGACAAATAGTGTTAAGCCTGCTGCCATTTTCAGCTCTGTGTGTTTTTCTGCTCACACCGAGCAGACCACCAAGCAGCGGTTTGCCATGTCACAGTTTCTGTGCCAAACTCAGGGAGGCTTTACAATTACCTGCTGATGCATTACTATTCCTGCCGCTTTTCTATTTTCATAGTGTTTATTCAGCCACCCGAAACCCACGATGGGCTGGTTGGAATGGAGGAAATGGTTGGACAGGGCTGGTCCACTGTGTGTGTGTTTCTGGATTCCCTAACCACTCCCTTAACACACCTGGTGGTCTAAGCTCCACCAAGAGACAAAATGACAACAGCTGATCTAAAAGTGTTCCTCGACTGTTTATCTGTGAGGCGTGGCGAGGTCAACTGGACATTGTTATCTCGGTGGAAGCTGTAAAACTCTGCTGAAAGAAATTTGACAAATTATTAAAGCTGATGTGGCTGACACACTCAAAAGAGTGTTTGAATCACAGTCAGCCTTTAACTGCTGAAGTCTCTGATCAGTATGCTGATCGCAGCACAGAAAGATGGATGCTTTTCTTTTTCATGAATTATTGATTTAATAGAAGCCATGTAATTAGTTTCAGGCCAGCTTACCATCCAAAAGCTCCTCAAAGTCGTCGACAAAGAACTCTCGCAACGGCGGCCGCTTCGGTCTCTTCAGAGTGTTGAGCAACTGCTGGATTTTGGAGGAGACGCGACTGTTGACTGGAACACCTACACAATGATAATGGAGGGGATGAAAAGAAAAGGGCAGGGGGGAAATAAACAAGACAAGGATACGGAGAGAAATACAGATATGGAGAGGAAGAATATGTGGCGTGGAAATAGATAGAAATGTAGACAGAATGATTGAGAGACGGATGAAGGAAGAAGAAGATGGAAAAGGGAAGAGAAGAAAAGAAAAGCGAAAAGGTCAATGTGGTGCTCGAGAGGACAACCGGCTGTCACTCACAGACAACCAAACAGTGGACCACGAGGTCCTCTACAGTCACCTGGAGGTCTAAGGGTTACTGTCTCTCAGTCCAGATGCTCTCTAGAATCACCAACAAACCTCACAGGTTAAATAAAGCAGAAAGTGAGGAGCCTCCTCACCTGCTGCCTAGCAACAAAGATGTCCTCCCTGCATCAACTGTTTCACATACGGTCTGCAAAATCCACAAATGTGGAGGCTAAAACCAACTACACCCCAGTCAAGTCAAATGATATACAAGTCATGTGAAGTGTTAAAGTGTTAGAAATGCTGAACATAAATGCAATGCTCAGAAAAGCTTAATCGCAGAGACATGGAGCCTTGTAGAGACATAAGAACACAAATGAAGGAGCCTGAGTGAAGACGAGAGGTGCCTGGTTAGATTTCTCTCGCATTTTAGTCATGGGTGCGAAGACTATAATCATCATCGGGCATCATTTCCTTCACATGAATTCATACTTAGTTTGGGAGGGGTGGTCTGTGTCACACATTCCAGACGGCCACAGAAGACGAAGGCCACAGCTGCACGAAGCTTGCCGGATCTATCTTACTATAATAAGCCTGGCTCAGACAGACTGTGCCTCCTCGTGAAGGGACAGATGCACTGGGAGTAGACGCTTGGGGGTCAGCGCTGCACCTGATGGGCCAATTAGAAAGCCCTAGACACACAGGACTGCATCTGAGGTCCCCTGAACCCCACCCACTCACGTGATTTCATCGTTAATATCACAGCTAACCAGGACCCGCATGTGCCGATGAGTATAATTAACAGTTTAATCATTTCATAATATATCCACCCACATCATTAAATTACTGGCTCTTGTTTATTTACTTATTTTAAATGGCACACCAGGTCTTCGCAGTAACGTGCATATATGACAGAATAGCATTAACAACAAGCTAAGACCATAACTGAGATGTAGATAAAGAGCAATGCTGGCTATCCTTCATGTTTCTTACTGTTCATGAATCCCACTGACAGACCAAAACCAACAATGTGTTAGACCATCTCTTAATATTTCTGACTTCCTTACCCTGTCTGTGGCTCTAAGCCCAAAGCTCATTTGCTACTAACGAAGCCGTAATTATTCAAAAATGTCTCACAATATATTGTTCCATTTTTCGTAAGTCATCTCCTAAATCAGCAGGGCGCTGAAGTTTGAGGACAATGTTTCAGCTGCGGATTAATGAACATTTGGTGCTCTAGTGAGGACGGTGTGCGTTGGATTGACTCAAAATGAACTACAGTGAATATGTTTATCATAATGAGGGAACATTTAACCCAGTGGAACTGAGTGGCTCACTGCTGTGTTTTTAACCGTTTTTGCACAACATTTTTGGTCTAGACACAGAGGAATACGATATATTAGACTTTGGATACACAGACAATACTTCTTAGTAGGATTCATTGTTTGTTTCGGTCTTTTTTGGGGATTTGTTGACAAAAAAGCACCACAGTATGCATGCTCCTTCAGGAAACCAACACATACAGCGTCAGTAACCGAGTCCAGATGGAACCAAAGATACTGTGTGGCATGTTTTCTACTCCCAACTATGTGTTGTTATCAAAATGGCAACAGTGCTAGACGACTGTCATCAAAGAGCCCACTCTGTGGCTACAGGCTAACAAGCTCGTGTCACATAATGTAGTGAGAAACATAAATTGACAAGTCTCAGCGTTTCAGTGTGAGCACAGAAACCAGCGTGTCGACATGATAATTATTCATAACCCCGAATGAATAGTTGCACCTGTCATGGAAAACACCTTTTCAAACAATCTGCTTTAACATCATCAATTTGCAGAGCATGGTTAGATATTGCTGGGAGATGCTATAAATGCTGCAAAACACTCTGCTATACACACACACACACACACACACACACACACACACACACACAAAAAGGTATCCAATGACTGAATTCACTGCAGCATTGCATATATTTTTGAAAAACACACACTTTGGACAAGTGCTAGACCTGACAGTGGAGGCGAAGGCAGAAACACACACAAACACAAATGCACACGCAGCAGAGTGCACACATAGAAGACTGCCATAGAGCTGGAAGAACAGTTATAAATACCATCCATTAAACTGAGGGATCCTTCACTTCTCCACTCACAGCCTGGAGGAGAGACACATCAGGATGTCAATGAAACAGTCCTGCTAACTTTGTGTGTGAATGTGAACGTGCGAACGCGTGATAGAAGACTCGACCTGCAGCCAGACACAGCTGAGAGCAGGCTTGTAAAGCGACAAAGACACATACCGTTGTTGTGCTACCACAACAACAAAGATAGGATTTCTTGCTGTTTTTTGCTATTTTTGTTAATGACTCCTTTCTGAAAAAGGTGCATAGGCAGCGTGGCTTTGAAACATCTTGAACACCAAACAGCCGAACAGAAGGGATAAAAATGTAACTGTTCACATCTGTTTCCCCTTTATGTGTCAGCCAGGTGGGCTGGTTTTGCATTTATTAGCAGTGAAAACCCAGACTGCGCACACATTCTTGATAAGAGAGGATGGATGGCAGGAAGGTAAAAGATCTGTTGAAGCACTGTTCTAGTTTTCTCGCAGCTAGCTCATACATTGGACGTTAATTCAAAGCTGCATTCAGCTCTGATGTTGAATGAGTGGAGATGGAAGGGAGACAGGAACGCATTGGCGCTGCTTTTATCGGCTGCTCGACAAGATTGTCATCTGTGGCAACCCTCTGAAGAAAATAAACTTGGTGCATACACTGTAAAAACATCTCTCTTAACGCATGAAGTTCAGCTGTATATTGATTTCACTGGTTACCCATCTCTACACTGCACAGCATCCAATTGCCAATATATCCGATAACCCATCTGGAAACAATATTGGGTGCATACTGGACTGTGCTGCTTGAATGATGGATGATGTTTGGTGGCTGTTAATTGTATGCACTCAATCTCTAATAACATGAGAGGGTCAGTCAGCAGCTTGTGGCAGTCTGACAGGCAGACTTACGAAGCAGAAGACAGAGGGACAGACAGCAGGGGAGATAGGGAGGTGACCGGGTTTCTGTGTGTGTGTGTGTGTGTGTGTGTGTGTGTGTGTGTGTGTGCGTGAGAGTAGGCAACTCACCATCTGCAGTCTCCATGACGCTGATGTGGTGGTTGTAGCCCCGGGAAACGCCTCGCACCGAGGCCACCTGGGGACGCTCCGTATGGAGCGAGGAGCGCTCCGACAGCCCCGTCACATCGGGGGGCGCCGAGTGGTTATCTGTGATGAGTGGGGCGTCGGGGGTTAAAAGGTCAAACGCCAGGCCTATTTTCGGCTATGGTTACTAAATGAAAATCTACTTCATGGTCTTGCAAACAAACTGATCTGACAGCTTTGGAACTTGATTGAGAGGCTAAAAGCCTTTCGTCATCTGCAAGTGGAGAGTCTTAAATTCAGAAGAGTGTGTTTTAACAAGGTTTTTATATGTTTTACCTCCATTTTAACAACCTGTGATGATAATGAATGAATGTTTCTATTCAGAAGATATATTCCCATCAGTGCACAACATATCCACAGAGAACACTTATGCATTACTGTATTTATTAAATACGCCATGTGCACAGCACACGTGTCATTTCAGAAAGTGTGATGGCCTTCTAGTCATTGTCTACTGCTGAAGTGAATGACGGACAGAATCATAGTTTGAGGGGTCAAGGAACAGGATAATATGGGAGATTTATTTACAGCTTCATTCAGCACCAGTCACTGCTGCTACTTTATGACAGCAACCTTGAGGGGAGACAGGCTGGACAGAAATCTGACAGCTCCATCCTAACAGGATATCGTTCTGCCAGCAGACACACATGAACACACACACACACACACACACACACACACACACACACACACATACACAAGCAAGACGCCAGCTCACTTTGCTGCTGCATAAGAGACGAATGAAGATGGATCCACTGAATCTCACTAACTCGCTTGGGACTCGCATTGCGGCTGTGACACGGGAAGTGGCTGTGAGCCCTTTCACGTGACTGAATGACAGTGAGATGGCAGACCGAGACGAGTAATGAGAGAGATGTACATTAAGGGTGTTTTCACTCCTGTAGTGAGGTTCATTTGGTCGGGACCAAGGAAGAAAGGTCCGGTTCCTGTTTACACTTTTTACAAATAAACTAAGAGGAGAAAACACTTCGCTAAACAGACTGACGGGTAACTCGTTAATCGGATAATCAAGAATTAGAGCGCTGCATAAATTAAAAGGGGACAAGAACATACAGATTGAGCAGCCGTCATTTGATGGCGTGTTAAGACTGCGTGTGTGTCTCTACTGACCTAGCTGGGTGTGTGCCATAAAGTCGGCCAATGCGGTAGCTGCGGCGTTGGCGTTGAGGGCTGCGTGGGAGGTGGTGTTGGTGGTGGTGACGGATCTCCCTCCTGGGTGGGATGAGGTGGATGACGCGGAGGATGAGGTGGACGAACCCTGGATGACACGGTTAAACCAGTGCTCAACGGCTGGGTGGCCGTGGCCCTGGTAGGGCGTCGAGGTGGCCAGACGTCCCTGCCGGCGGAGTGAGCCCTCGTCTTCCGACGCCGAGGAGGTGTCTGTGTTTGACAGGTCAAGACAGGGCAACGTCACAACAGTGGACAAAGATATGGGGCTGCAGGATTTAGATGATATGCTGATGATGCATTATTTTACTTATACATACTGGAGAGAGTACATATAAACAGGTGGGATGGCCAGATGGGTTCAATGGAGATGGAAGATGTTGAGCTGAGGGATGCTTGTATTATATTGCCTATAAATGTACACATATAGTCATAAAGACAGCTCACCGCAACAATAGGTGTACCATATATGAATGATAAAGTGTCATAGACTTTGACAACAAACAGACCAGAGTGTTTCATATTTGTAGACGACAACAGCAAGAAAAAGGAATACAACTAACAAAGGCAGCTTTTTAAGAGAAATATTTATGGTGCAAACTATCCGTACAGTAAATATACAGTCGCTATAACGAGGCAGTTAAAAGAACGTTGTGAACTAACCAAAACTGGTATTCTTGCTTGAAGGGGTTTTGAAAAAAATATGAATACTGTACTTGCATAAAATACATACACAACCTAAAATAGCCTGACCAAATTTCCTTTATAATGTTGGTTATAATACTTTGGAAGTGCGGTGTGTGCTTAAGTTATTGCTTGGGTTAAAACACAGTCACTGATGATTTTACCGTCTCTCCCTTGAGACAGCCGTGAGCAGTTGGTTTCAGCAAAAATAGCCCAAACAGGAAAAACTTCAAAGGAAAGTCTGGATCATTCAAAATGAACACATTCCATTTCATCTGCCAAGTACCCAGAAACGCCTGCTCTTTCGACAGAACCACTGACGTTACACAAGAGCAGGCCAGTCTGAGATTTGCATTCTGCAGAGAACTGAGTGTAATGAAAGGGCTGAACGGGCTTAGGCATCACCCTCTTGAGAAAATGAAACAACTGTTTTCAAAAATCACCAAGAAAGTTCACACTTTCTCCACGTTATTCATGATTAATGAAGTAAACCGCAGCAACCCATACAAACAACAGAACTCATTCACACGTCTCAACATATTATACACAGCATACCTTACAAAACAAAGCCTTAAAAATAACGTGGAAAACCTAACCCAGAACATGGAACCAGTTCTGCGTGTTTCGACAGCAAAAAAAAAAAAAAGAATATAACAGCTCTTGGACAGGGAAACTGGACATAAGATAAAACCAGTGGTCCATGGAAAAGACAAACAGTCTCCTTACACTGTAGTCGTAAAGGCAAGATAAACTTGAAGGTGTTTGAATGCCAATGTAGGCTTGCAAAGCCAGAAGCAACACTTGTAAAGTGACGATGTAGTCCGTCATTGTTCTGCTTTAAGTTGGCCTAGACGGTGATGTAATGACTTGGGTCTCTAGCCTGTGGGAGAGCAAACTGGTTCTTAGAAGATTCACTAGTCGAACCAACTGTGAACTGGCACCAGCCCAGAACCAGAACTAGGTTTGAGTTGGAAGAAAGGGGGTATGAGAGGATGAGAGAGAGAGACATTTAGAAAACAGAGATTAAGTCTGTGTGTGTGATCAGCACATGCCTAAAGATGTTCTCTAAAGTAATGAGCCTTCTTGCAATTAATCTACCTCCTAATCACTCACAGTATGTAAATACAGGTAAAGTCCATCAACTGAGAAACATTTGAAATGACTGTTCAAATGACTGTTGCTCTCCAGTGGCTTTGCAGAGGCTGCCAAAGGAAGGCTGGAGGAGGTTTGATCATAACAAGCTTGAATTTAATGTCTCTACAACCAGCGGACTCATGGGGGTTATATCGCATTCATGAGTCTGTTTGTTATTCCTCTGCCTCCGTCCAATCTCTCTCCGAATCTCAGTAACCTTGACAAAGTTCCACAGAGGGAGAGTGAAACAGGGGGTCAGAGACCAAATGCAAAGTAGAAATAGAGAGGTGGAAATAATGGGAAGGAAACTAATTAAGAAAAAGAGGTATTAGTCACAGATAAACAAGCAAAAAAAGGGATAGATAGCAAATAGTAAAGAGTGAGCTAGAGAAAGACAGTCAGTGATGAAAGATTTGGAGGTAGGTAGGAATATAAACTGGTCTCAGTTACTCTTGTGCATTAATCAAATTTTATGTTCAAGCAAACAAAGACTGGTATATTATTAAGGCTTGAGCTTGGCAGTTAAGTTAGTGAATTGGCTGAAGCATCTTCATAATGGTTTGTGCCTGAGTTTAGTTCTAAACCAGCACTGGACAGATAAATAAAATGTTTATAATTCATGCTGAGGGGAAAATGAATGTCTCAACCGAATTTCATGGCAAACCCTACCAATAGTTGTCAAAAGCACAAATGTACACCTCATGGTGGTGCTGAAGAAGAAGTCAGGAGATCACCAAATGCTGAATTTCCCCTGCACAGTACGGCACAGATCGCTTGACTCGCTTCAAACTGTTCTCTTGCAGTGGAAATTAGTCAAAAGACCGTAGACTTCATCTTCTGGAGACCACGAATGTCTGTTCCAAATTTTATCTATATTTCAGTCTGGAGCCAAATAGTAGACTGACGGACTGACTGTCAAACCAATATTGCCATTCCTAGGGTGACGCCGCTAGCATTGCTAAACATACATCAATCTCAGGCATTGATAAATGGGTTGTTGTGACTGTTGGTCTGTAGATTGGCTACGTTTACTGTACATTGTTGGAATAAGGCTTCTAACGTCCAATCACGCCACAGTGGATTGAATGACAGGTCTGGCAGTAAAATGTTTTTTTTTGCTCACATTACTACTGGTTCTTCAAAATCAGACATGGAGCGTTCAGACACGTAGTGTGACCAGATGTAAACCAGCCACTGTAGATTAGCAAGATAAGAGATGGAAAAGGAGAAGGTTAACAGATACAGATACCAACAGTAGGGGGACTTGTTCCTCTAAATATTACTTAACAGCACCATTAGTGGCCAAAAAATCCAATAAATCCACCACCTTATTACGTCCTGACAAAATTTTGCCCCAAAAGATATTGTATGTACAGTACATGAGTTTGTGGATCTGTTAGCCATACCTACGTATGTACTTCATCTAAGTAGATCACTCATAGTGACCATGAAGAGACTCCCCCCCCCTTCTCCCCTTTAAACCCCAATGTCTGAGCTCTTAATCCGTTTACTCGCTGCACCGCTGTGTCCTCTCTCTTTGCCCAAGACATGAGGCTCTAAGGCCCCCCACCAATTAACTCTTATACAGCAATGATAAAGCCACTGCAGTGTTAAGAGACTGGACAGTTTGCTGTCATCAAATCTTGCACTGATATCTTACAGACTGATTAAAGATTGATTAAATACCTTTTTCGGAAACAATTGTGCAAAAATAACAATACAAAAATGTTTTTTGGGCCTTGAAGATCACAACCAAGAAAAGCTGCAGAACGCAGTAAAATGACATTACAATGAACTGGCCCACACAATTCAAACTGTTATAAAAGCATGCGAAAGGTCGACATTTTGAGACTATGTTAAAAATCTGATTATGCATCCATTATGCAACTCATGTGGGAAGGTCTGCCTGGGAATACAACAGTGAGAACTGGGCCCTTTTGAGTCACACAGAATGGACACATTCATCAAATTGCATATTTCTTTCCAGTAGCAAAAGCTTGACAACATCATCTTCCACCACTGGACACAACAGAGATGCCAGCATCCTACACTGCAATGCTCATGAGAGCACACGGAAACAACCCAGTGCAAGCATTAACCTAGACTGTGTGTCTGCAGGATAAACCTTGCCCTTGGTGAACAGTGTTACTGGAACAGAGGCCTCACCTGGGGGGGTGCATGCCTCAACAGAGGACTGAACTAACACAGATCGTCTCTTGGAGGGCATTGGCATCTTCCTCTCCTTGTACTTTGCCAAAGCTGCTTGGACGGCTTCTGTGTGCAAATCTAAGAGAACACATCACAACACAGTTAAGCTACGGCATAGAAGAAGAACACCAAGCATTTCAAACTGCGAGGCAGTGTGGAGACATGATTACCAGATCTGAAGCGTTCATCCCGGGTGTTGGCTGCCCGGGACTTGTTGTGTTTGGAACCTGGCAGAACAGCTTGGGAGGAGGCCTGGATCCTGTTGTCAATTTGCAGAGAAGGATCTACACCTGTAGAGAGACAAACCCAAAGCAGGGAGGGAACAGTTTGTAACAGGACAGAAACAAAATGTATACCTTCCTCTAAAGCAGAAATATGAGCAGATACATTCTTTGCAGAATGTGCCTTGGACATATGTCCTGAATATTGCTAGACTAAATCAAGTATCCACAAGCTTAATGGTAATCCTTATTTAGGCTGCTTTCTTCTAATACAGTAGCTTGGAGTTGAGAAAGTCTTCACTTAAATTAATCCAGCCTCTCTCACAGCTTTCCAGCTGCCTTCCAGCTTTCCAAGGCAAGCTAATGCAAATTACACAGACGTAACAGACATGAGGTGATTAAGCAGCATGAATGTCAAACAGACAACATCTTCTAACTAGAGCATTCTAAAAGTATCAAACACTTAAACTCTCTCAACCTCTCTGTGCTCTGTGTGACACAGGCAGTGATTCATCCTTGTGATTACGCAATCCTCATTTGAGCCTCATTACGTTGCGAGTGGTTAACATCAGAGGGGAAACCCAAGACTACCGCCTGAAGGAAGGTGGTGGTTCGAGCTCTATTTGTAGTCGTCTACCATTGGCTTCACTTCTTCTTCTCATGCTCTCATACTGATGTGTTTGATGTTATGGAAGTATACATACTTCAAATACATCAGAGGATGTAAAATATTACTAAACGAGATGAATCCTTTTTTACTGTATGTCACAAGTTTGATCCAGATAAAATACCCAACCCATTAATTATTGACAGAAAATCTTCATCCTACCCCTATTATGGTATATTATGTTCTGCATATTAAAGATCCAAATGTTGTCATTATATGTAGTGCTAATACATACATTATAGGAACACACCAACTAAAGTAATTTCCCACAACTTGCTTGTATTTCCGTGTTGAGTAATGAAAGGCCTTAGCAGTTATTTTAGGCAGAGTAGAGGGACAACTTTACAAATAATGGAACAGGAAGCCGTTAAAGTAACAGCTTCTGTACTATGAATCAGCAATACATCTGACAGCTTTATAAGGTATATTTTCCCGACAGTGAGACAGAGACGAAAATACAGTTTAAAGCGACCAACTAGTGCCATGTTTCCACATCCTCCTGCCGGTTCCCTCCTGTACTTTCAGTCTACTTTCTGATACCTAAACACTGTCTGTTTTATACTTAAAGACACATCACAACAGCAGCACAACAAACAACTACAGACACTACATTTTTCTGTGAATACGGAACTAGAAGCCTGCAGAGATGTTATACAGGGAACACAGCTCGTCTTTTATTCCATTTAATGAAACCTGCTAACTGGATGCTAAAATATGCAGTAACAGAGACATTAACCCCTGCAAATCCTCATATGCAAACATAGCCAACTGAGTTCATTGCAATGCATTACCAAGCCAGCCAGGTACAACTACCACAAATTTAATCCACAAATGTAATTTGATGGCTACCAATTTTAGAGGCTTCCTTCCCCAAAGGAAGTGTTTTGAATCGCTACAAAGTAATTATATAGGAAGAAAAAAAAGTATACAATTCAAACACATACAACCTGATGACACAACATGAGGGACTCCGCATTAACAGTCCAGCTATATTCATGTACTTCAGCCAAACGTTTATGTAGTCAAAGCCGCCTACTATCATTGGCTAGTGATTGCCACTTGTGTATATTTGGCTGTCTTTACAAGTGTAACCATTAGAAAAGGACAGAGTCCTCCCGTGCCACATTCAGCCAGCTAGATCCAACACCTATAGCTGGCTGGCCAGTCAGACACCCGGCCAGCCAGACAGCCATCAGCCCGCCTGGCTTTTCAGCAGCAGCTTAGTGGGGATAAGCGAGCTCCACACTGTCAGCAACTCTCGGACGGCAGCAGCACACACACGGAAATGCTGAGCAACATTCACACACGCTTTGACTAAATCTGTTCAATAACACTTTCAAATTTTAGACACGCTTCGTTAAGGCCCGAGGTCATTTAAGGACACATAATGCATGGAGTCTGACACATACACACACATGGATAGACACATCAATATATTATGCTGGTCCCTTATATCGCTCTGACAGCCCAGTCACACATCAGCCTTTCCCCAGCCCCTGCAGGAAACAGGTCTATATAAACAAGCCAGGACACCAGACCCGGTTGCTGGGAAGAACACACTTCTGAGACACAGCGCACAGAGCCAATCAGAGGCTTGCTCCGTCACAGCAGATGTTGTTATTGGCCCGTAGCGCTCCCTGATGAATTTTTAGCACCCGTCTGATGCCTAACACTTACAGGTGTGGCGGCTGATGACACAAGTGCTGTGTCTCACTTCTTTCAGAGAACAAATACGCTTGGCTAATGACCTGCATCGAGTACCCGATTGCATATTAGAATCGCAGACATTAATAAGCAATTGAAATGACACGTGCCTAATATAAATGAATGGATGACAAATTCAGGTTGAATGAGCTGGGACACAGCAACTGCATTCATAGGCAGAAAATCTAAACCAGATGTCAAAAACAAAATCACTCAAGATAAGACAACACATACCCGTGTTCTTACTGAGGATGGACAACAATTCCCCCACAGAGCTTTTCCTAAATGTTTGACTTCCCAGTATGGTCAACACCTAAAGCAAGTATTTACTCTCAAAGCTCACAGTGCAGCTTCAAAACACTCAAATAAAAACAAAGGAAATGAATTTACTCTGTCATAGATCTAAACAATCTATCTTTGTACCCTACGTTATTGCACTTGGCACATGTACTGTAGTCCTGTTGCTACAGTGAAATATAAGGCAAAACGGCTTGCGAAATTTTGCATGGAGCTCAGAAACTTTCAGTCTATTGGTCTCCTATTTCTACCCTGCAGCTGTTAAACCCTAACCCACTCATTCATTTACTAACTCCCAACACATCCATTCATCCCGCTGGAAGAATGTCACCCATAGCCCATCTATTTCTGCCCGATATCTATCACGTCCCTTCTTTTTAAGTGTTAGGATCCAGACTGAGTGGATCTAACAATGAATGACAGAAAGGAAACATATGAATCCATGATAACAAGAAGGGAGAGGGAGCAACAGAAAGACATAGAATGAAGGAGATGATCCGCCCCAAGCTGAATAACAGGCCTGCTAACTCCAGTGGAAAGCCTTGAGTGAGCGGCCCACAACAGACACTGGTTTCCACTGAGGCTTGCCGTTCTGATAGCAGGCCAAACCGATGACTGCCATGAGCCCCGGACAAAGAACGGGGAAGCATGAAGTATAAAGACAGCGACTCCTCTCTGGGATTTGGACTGACTGCTCAACTGGGAATAAAAATACGCTGAATTGATATATAAGTGTATGTACGCACAGTCAAAAGCCAGAGGCCGATAAAAAGTAGAGACACACATCTTGGAAAATACACGCCCCCTTGTTTTTTTAAAGTTAATTCTTCTCAACCACCTACAGCCTAAGACAGGATGGCAGGTACAATATGCACAAACTGCATTAAATAAACAAACCACTCTAAATAATGAGCATTCTGTAAGACAGGAACTTAGTGATGAAAGCAGCACGCAAGCACACAAAACAATCAAATGAGACAAAATCTTGACCAGTTATCATTCCAGCAGAGACACCTAATACCGTATTTACATTTCCAATACAGTCTGTCTTCATTGTTTTGGTTGGTTAGCATCTATTTTTAGTTGGCCCCTACAAACACTATAATACTGTATATGGCCGCTGCAGGGCTGTGGCAATAATAACAGACCCAAGGATAACAGAACCACAGTTAAAGAATCAAGGGCACAGCAGCAGACGTATCAAATCTAACCAGATGAATTACATAGATGTGTCCAAAGCCTCCATAGAATCCTTCATGGTAACTTATAGCGCTAATATTAAAAATCAACTTCTAAACTAGCTTTGGATTTGTTATATGCTGATTGTTTAAGTTTTGGGATTTTATTTTTGATTTTTTTTTTCTTTAAAAAAAAAGAAAAACGAAGACACACCAATAATCATCATTATTAAAATCATAAGATTCTTTTTTTCCCCATTTTGTTTGCTCTTGCCATGGACACAATGCTAACTGCTATGCTAACAGGCAGCCAGGGGAAACAAATGTAAACCTGCTCTGGACAGTAAATTCCCTGCAGGCCTGTGTGCCTTACCTTGTATCTGTGGGATGTATGGTGCCAACAGCTTGCCTCTTTTCTTCTCATAGCCCTTCTGAGTGATGTCCCCTGTACAGATAGAGACAGAGAAATACAGAGGAACAGACAGACAGAGAGAGAGAGAGAGAGAAGAAGGGGGGGGGGCAGAGATATGAGTCATTAGCTGCTCTGCCGTGCCCTGGTGGTGTGTGTGTGTGTGTGTGTGTGTGTGTGTGTGTGTGTGTGCACGCTACAGATCACACTGCCAGGCTGGTTACACTGGCACCATGGGGCACCAGAGGTTGCGGTAGCCGTTTACCAGCTCTCACCTCACCCACTGTATGTCTCTCTGTCTCTCTCTCTCTCTCTCTCACACATACACAGGAAGTGACATTGCAAATGAAAGATGTTTAAACTGACAGATATGCGTGAGGAATTTCCGACCAAATGCTTGAATGATAACATCGACGAGGCAAGAGGCATTTAAAAGATCATTTGTCTGGTGCGGCGGGAACAATTTCCCCTCGCAGTGTTTTTACCAGAAGTAAAAAATACTGCTGATGTCAGCATGAACTGAATCCCCCTCAGTTGTCCCCACACACAATTAAGGCAGCCTGTTAAAAAAGATCTAGCTGCATGTTATTTTTAATAGCCCTATTTGAAAGAAACGTCATTGTGCAAGCTTTTTCAAACCTAGAATTTAACTATAGTAAACGAAGAAAGAGAAAAATGAGGGCAGATAGCGACAGAGAGATAGAGTAAAGGTACAAGGCAAAGTGATATAATGGCTCTGTAGAAGCAGCAGGGTATAGAACCCAACTCTGCTAATTGTCTCTAGACTTAGAAACTAGACTGAGAGAGGTGCTGACTGACAGCACCTCTAACACACAAACCATGAGAATGTACACAAATATAAGAGCTCTCAAACACCCCGAAGGATGAACGAAAAAAAGTTTATTGTGGAAAATATGCCAGTCAAACAGTCGGGCTCAAAGTGTCAAAGTCAACAGACACTTGACGTGACGTACGCATTGTTTTGGCAGGAAGCTAGGAACTGCTCACAAAAGTCAACGCAAGATCTTATTTTCCACTGGACGTTGACACTGGAGTCCAATGAATAGGGGTCTCGCTGTGCTTTATGTTCATCTCTATAGGCTCTCAGTGGGGGGTCATTAGGGTGGAGGTCAAGTGAAAAAGCAATAAGTTCAATAGGGCTATATCTGAACAGAACAAATTGATTAAAACCCTCCCCATTTGGTCCCATTCTTCACCTCACCATGGGGAATATTTACTTTACTTGCTCCTTATTGATGTGTTTAACCTATATTCATTTATAAAAGTGTTTTTTACCTTTCCCCTATCAATGTATAGCCCTTCATATTGATTAATGAATATGAATTAATGATCTTTGTATTGGTTCCAACATTGCCTTCACGAAGTATCCTTGATTTATCTTTGCTCCTCAAGAACACAACAGTGTGGTAGTGTGAAGGCAGGTGTCGATGGTCACACTGGTTGCCGCACTGGTCCTGAGTCACCAGTAACAGCTGAATGCCCGCACTGTTAAATGTCCAGGAGAGCTGGAGGCTGGCAACAATACAGCGCTGTTCACAGGCCGGCTGACCTGACACTGACTCTTTCTGGTGATAAGTGTCTCTGTTTGTATGCGTGTACATCAGTATATGTTTGTGCGCATGCCAGCATGTCTGAGTGAGCGCACTACAGCAGCCAGCCAGCCTGACAACCGCACAATAGAGGGCCATTCTCTGCGGCGGCTCCAAATTCTGGCTAGCAGCCCCGGTGACCAAGCGGCCCCTAGTACACACTGATCCATCAAGTTATGTCTCGGTGAAGCTAATCTATTCATCTGAGAACAAACCGCTTTGCCATTAAAGATGGAGGAATGGACTCAAGCATGCAATGGTAAACAATGAGCCTTACCCGGAGTCTTCAAATGCAAAAACAAAAAAGTCTGAGGCACCAAAGGATTACAATATTTAGTATGTGTTTGCATATGCATGCACTTATATTTGTGTCTGCATGTTTACAAAGTCACAGACAGATGCTCCCTTTCCGTTCTGTGCTTGAGCTTCGAGTGCCTCCGTAAGAGGAAAAAATGGGAGGATCCAAAGGTCAATATGTGGCCTGCCGCCTGGGGAATAACTGAGGGGGGGAGAGGGCGGTGGGTTAGAGAGAATGATGGAGCGATGGATGGAGGGAAGCTTAGCGCATACACCAAATTGCACAGTCACAAGGGACAAGCTGTAGCCATACAGTATATTTACAGCAGAGTGGGAAACACTTCACTTGACCCCCTTCACCCTTCTGCGCTGACGACAGGCTTTACCACATAATTGAGCTGTAAAGAAGAAGGGAAAGGGTGTGTCACCAAACAAGCACCTGGGGGGGGGGGACGAGTAAATAAAAACTGAAAGCAAGTGTGTCAAAGAGGGAGGTGAACAAAAGCACGAGAGGGACGGGGAGAGAGAGAGAGGAGGCATTTATCATGTTGTGATGGTTAGAGAATGTCCCTGGGGGCTCAGCTGGTTTTTCTTTCCTCAACCTGCATCTACCTTCATCAAAAGCAACCTCCTTTGTGGCCTTCATCCCTCCACTCTAACCTCTTCACCTTCTTCACACGAACCATTATAGTCGTCTTTTGTCCTCTCTTTTTAATTACCTGCAGCAGTTTTTGCTTGTGGGGGTGGGGGAGATAGAAATAGCAAAGGGATATCTTGTCCACATTTTTAGGGCTGTAGTCTTGGGATATTAACCTCCATCCATCTGAAGTTTTTTTTCCGACGATCCAGAGGCTTTTCTATCTGGCACATCATCCAATGTTGTTAGCGTAAACATTCCTCTCACCCTGCACTGAATCCAATTTAGAAAAAGAGTCGGTCAATCTTGTGACACTCTGAACAGCGACAACAAGAGTGCCCGCTGTCACTGCTTTGTCTTGTTGACTATTATTGACCGATGGCTATTGAGTATATTTGACTGATGGCTATTGAGTGGAGCTGAGGCCCATTAGAGGATTACCTCGCATCGGCCCGGACGGAGCTCTTCAATTGGGAGGGAAATACTGAAACACAGCACATTCCTCTACAAGCCTAACCCAAACACATTAAGGAGAGGTAATGAAGCTCTGAATGAAGATGGTGGCATTGGCTTTACTTAAGATGGTGTAAGACTGTTCTTAACAAGACCAGTGAAAAATGAATCTGTAACAGGACAAGATTGAGATGTAAATAGCCAGACAGGGATGTCGACTCTTGCTCTAAACTGTGTCCCTGGGTATCACACACACACACACACACACACACACACACACACACACAC